TTTTTTGGATTGTGACTGTGCAATGTTTAGTTCCATTAAGCTTTCTAATTAACCCATGTATCGAGATTTAGGCCAACGACTCTCAAACCAAAGGTTTTAAGGCATTAGGTGTAGAAACACCCCTAAGGGCTTATTAACTCGAGTTAAAAAGGCTACAGAACTAAACTAGTCACAAAATGTATTTACCCCAAAACTTTACCGTTTGACGCGAACACTCGCTGCTGTTTAGGCAAGAGGCCCGGTTACTAAGTAAAACTCTGGATAAATTAACATCATTATTATTATTTTATTTATTTACTTATTTGTTTTTTTACGCCAAGGTCAATCAAGAGCAATGTCTTCTAACTCTACTTAAAACAACAAAGTTAACTATAATTGATTTTTTCTTTCATTCTCACTAAAGTGTTGATGTGCATGTGAGAGTTCAAAGTATAACTCATGAATTATCCACTAAATAGAAATAAGTGAAAAAAAAACTAAAATTATGGGTTTAAAATTTAATAATATGTTTCCAATCGTAAAAATCATTCATGAGTGTTAAATCTGATTTGATGATAGTAAGCATAAAAATCTAGAGATAACACCATTTTTATTTTTTAATTAATTTTTTTTAATTTTTGGGTGAAATAAAATAATAAAAAAAAACAAAACAAAACTTCTAAACCTTAACAATTTGTTCGTACCACTTTTACAAAAATCAAAGGAGATAGTATCGTATAGTAGTGTAGCTCGGAAGTCCGAGTGTCGTATCCACAGAGAGCGGTGTAAAGATAGCAGAGCTGAAAAAGAACAATTATGATTGAAAAGTAGATTTATGCAAGTTTTGATTTAGAGAAAATTTAATTGATTAAAACACTAAGGCATTAGGTTTCTACTTTTAACATAAGCATGCAACTCTTAATAATTTGATCCACAAAATATTTTCCATTGTAGTTGTTCAAAATAATTAAAGCTCTTTTTAATTTCCTTTAGAAGTATTCTAAGCATAACTTGTACCATTGGCAACAAACTATCAAAAAATAATCTTCATCAAAATTCTATTAATCTTTAGTAATTCTCTTCTCTTTTAAAAGCATGAAAGTTTTTACTACACTATGGGAAAAACATGATTGAACCCATGAAATAGATTATCAAACATTCATCAATTAATTAAAAAGAAAACTACAAATTCCATTTGAACAAAAAAGTACAAATTCACATTAAAGCTTAAGTTTGGATCAAACTAATAAAAATTACACACTTATATTAAAAGTTTCCTCCCTAGCCCTAGCTAGGGAGTTAGTTCCCCATAATAAAATAAAACTAAAAACAGAATTTAAGACTTAGAAATATGGAGGGAAAAGAGAAAAAGCTCAAGATTGTGGAGCTTGGTGTAGTTTTACAATGCCGTAGCTCCATCTATTTATAGGAGGATGGGAGCAATATTCATGATTTTAATATGTCTTCCACTTGCCATCAAACCAATTGCCAAGTTGCTTTCTTTAATTAATTCATTGTGATGATGACTCCTTATCTAAATTCTTCAAAACTTTCTTCCACTTGAACACTTTGTCATGCATTTCCATACTTTCCTTCTTCTCATTGTCGGGTATCACTCTTGAATTTCTCCACACCACTCTCCACTTGCTTCTTCACTCCAAGCTTTTATCATTTCAAATAAGTACCCATCATTTTCAAATATATTCCTTAATCTTGGCCTAGTTCCTTGACTTTGGTTTTCACAAAGATCTTTGAGTCTTCTTATCAATTGCTCCACTTGCTCCACTTGCTCCACTTGCTCCATCTCATCTCTCGTATCTTATAAAAAAACTGCAGCAACTTAGTTCAAATTGTAGCTAGATAACAACTCAAGCATCATCATTCTTCTTTGCATTCATTGGTTGCAAGTAGTCAATTTGAACTTCTCCTTCATTGTTTATTCATTCTTTCTTTATTTTTTCAATGATGGAAGCTTGCATGCATGTCCTAGAGCATAGATGAAATTGATTGCTTCTTCTTTTCATTTGGCATTGGTGGAAAACACTTAATATCTACAAATAACCACTCATTAAATATAAAACAAGATTGGAAAGAAAACAATATAAATACTCTAATAGATTTACATAATACAAAAGAAAATACTAACAAATATAAATTTAAGGATAAAACTTGTATTAATTTTGTGCTCATCAGAGTACCTCTACACTAAATGGGCATTTGGTCGTCGGTCTACCAAGGTAGCCTACCCTCTCAACCGCTAGCGAGAGAAAGAACTTTACCACCATTAGAGCATCCCCCATCCCCTAGGAAGATGCCCGTAAAAACTACTTGTTATAATCCTCAAAATAAAACATCAAGAATAAAATTTAGTGGCTCCTCGAACCAATTAAAACATCAAGAATAAACTACTCGTCACCCTTGCACTCGAGTTTAATTCCCTTTCTCGTACATTATATCAATTTGAAATATTATCGTATTAAAAAGAAGAATAAACTCTTTGAATGAGTTTCCTTTTCACAGGCTCAACCCACAGGGTGTGCAGGCTTGGTGCCGGCACAGAGCTACCAAAAAAATGAGGCCTCCTATACACCTCCAGTGTCCAGTCCAATAAAACTAATGTTTTTTGGGCTGTATTTTGAACTTTTTGGAGTCTTTTTCTTTATCTTTATTACAATGAGTCTTTTATTACTTAAACTAACGTACTTACCACCTAAGTTTGAAAGTTTTTATTATAATTTTTATTCAAAATGAGATAAGTAATAAACAAAAAAGGCCTCATTTTTCATTTTTGCCCTGAGCGGCCATGCCTTTTCATAACCCAATATGGTTGCAAGCACTATACTTGATATTTGGTTACCAAATCATACCACAACATGAAGCATGAATACGGAGTGGAATTATTTGTTTATTGTTTTTTTTTTATTTAATGCGTTTGTTTATTGGTTTTTAGTAAGAGAAACATGAATGGAATATTGACTTTGAATTGAACAAGTGGTGCAGGTTAGATTTGTTATTTTTATTGAGCAATTATGGTGGCACAACTCAAGCCCATTGCATAGGAATCGGATAGTGGTCTGCGTGTAGTTATTGCTGTGGAATTTTCAAATTTTGTTTATTTAGAAGCACGTTTCATTATTAGAAGAATGAAAGAGACAGTTAATAAAGATTATGTTATTGATTTTTTGCATAGGAAGCAAACCCACGAGTTGATATAATGAAATAATGGCATGATAATTGCTCAAAAGAATAGCATGATAATGGATACCAAAGTACAAGTCCTTGGCTTTATGCCATTATTAATGGAAATATACCTTGTGGTGTATTTCTCCGTATTTGGAATAACCTTACGTGATTACTGTGCTTTTACATTTGTATCAACCTTTTTTGGGTAATTTATGCCCTCGTTACTTATGATCTTGATGCCCAAGTTATGAATATAATTATCGGTTACTTTAAATAAAAAAAATTAATCTTTGGAAAATGGCTTCCATTATTCAAGATGTTCGTTCCCGTGGTCCACTTCTGCCACAATTTCAGAGAGGCAAATATGGTAGCAAATCATTTAGCTAGTATTAGTCATTCACTTTTGCTTTCTTTCTTGTATTTGGTTTAATAATTTCCCTTCTTAAGTTGTTTATCGTTAAAATTTGACTATTTTTTGGTCTCGGAAGAAAATCTACGTTGTAATCCACTTTTGAGGCCGATTCTTTTATTTATTTTTTAATTAAAGACATCCTAATTACCAAAAAAAAAAAAAGACATTCCAGGAAAAAAAGAGGAAAAAGGGAGAAGGACACTTGTTAGCAGGATACGGCGAGTAGCAATACAGCGTAGACGAGAGAGTAGGTAGTGGCGACGCACTTCCCCTCCACTACGCAAACATTCCAGCGTCTCTCTCGCCGCGTGCGTTTCGGGTTCAAAGTGTCTCTAGTCATCATTGTCATCTTTTTTTTGATGAAGTCATCATTGTCATCTTTGTCAAATGTCAATAATATCATAATTATCAGGTCTTAACAACAAATTAAAACACACAATTAAACCCACCCACTTGCTTGCTTGCTTTGCCTTCTTCTTCTGCTTCTTCCTAATTACAATATTTAATTAATTTAATTTCAAATTAGCACTCTCTCTCTCCCTCTCTCTCTCTCTCTCTTGCTTCACTGGGTTTTGAAGTGTTTGGCTGTTGCTTCCGGTGAGAGCGACACCGTTTCGGCGGCCGCAGAAGCTTTGGCTGGCTGGCACACTTTGCATGCCTGCCCTTTGGTTGGACCTTCGGTTATGTGTTTGACATAGAAAAGTGTGATTCTGTTTTTTTTTATATAACTTTTTGGCATTCCTTTCTTTATTCTCAGACTTTTCTTTCTTCCTTTCTCTTTTAGAAATTGAAAAGCGAAGAACCAAAACTTGTCTCTTCGACTTATTCTTCTTCTTCTGTTCCCTTCCTTGCTTGTAACAACAATGATCAACCTTTTTAATCCTGTAAGCTTCTCTCTCTCTCTCTCTCTCTCTTTCTATGGATTTTTTTTTGTATTTATGAGCCTGAAAATGATTGATTATAGCTTTTGTGATTCTACTTAACTGTATTCTACCTACCGACTGGATCATTAATACATTAATTATATATATAATTGTTTGTTTGGGTTTAATGGAGTTCGAATTCTATTTTGCTTTGTTTGCTGTTTGGTTGCTGAGAAAATGTAGAGGAAATGGAAGGAAAACGTGTCTTCTCTCTATTCCTTTGTCTCCCGGCCGCCAGGCTGGTTGCCCATGTGTTCAATTTTGTACAGGTTATGGGAATTGAACTTCAATATGGGCTCAGACTTTGTTAAGAGAGAGAAAGCCTTCGAATATGAGACTGAGTTATGATTCTCTTTGATCATAGTTGCACGAGTACATGGACATGGGAATTTTCTTAAAAGAGAGATGGTTCTATTGTTGTGTGGAATTTGGATTAGTGAATCACTTAAAATTGTTTCCCTCTGTTTCCTTATTGAGAAAATTTTTGGAAAGGAAAAGCACAACGTTTGTTGTTGGTTAGCTTATCTTCTGAGGTTTTAATTTCTTTGGCTAAGAAGTTAATAATTCTGCATCAATTAGTTTGGAAGAATGCTTATGACTACTTTAAATCAGTTCTGCTTTCGTTCTGCCTTCATTGTTTGCTTTCTTATTTTCCCTCTGCTTCCTGATACGACCAACCGATGCTCTTGATGGATCAAATGCAATACAATGTGATTGTTACTTAGCTCAGTGTTTTTGTCAGGCCTCTGCACTGTCAGATCCAAAGAACAGATCATTCTATTGCAGTCTCTTCATTGTAGCTTCATTGATCTGTTGTGCTTACTTCATTGGTGGTGCATCCATTGGTAAGGAGTATAAGGAGGTATGTCTTTCTGTTTCAATATCATCTACCTAAATATCGCTTAGTAGTATGTAAAATATTTCTGCAAGTTATGTGCATCTTTTACTCGAACCTCATTCTACATTAGCAAAGAAAAAAATTGTCTGAATGAATTTTTTTTTGGTCATCTCTTATTAATTAAATACTTCTAAAAAACTTGCAGAGATTAACAAGATGGAAAGTGACCTACTCTAGGCAGAACGCAAAGTTTGATACATGCAAGGTTTGCCTCTTACAGAAAAAAATGTGTCCTTTTTATAATGGCAGTTGAAGTTACTTCTATGGCTGATTTTCCCCTCTTCATCCTCAGAACCGTTGCCAGCCTTTGGGGAGTGAGGCTCTACCAGAAAGAATTGTTGCCAAAACGTCGGACTTGGAAGCGCGGCCTTTGTGGGGCTCCTCTGTGAATAATGTATGAGATGTTATGGCTTGTTTTCATTGAATTTTAGATAATGCCGTTGGTTCATCAGTTAGTTTATAAATCTCTGTAGTTATTTCTTGTTAATTTCTCAATGGGAATGTGGGAATGCATACTCATCCTTGTATGAGAACCATGAATTTTATTGCCAAGTAGTGTTTTCTCCCCTGTCTTCACTGTGCTTTTAATATATCATTTATGGTGACTAGTTTCATCATCGTATTACATGTTTTCTAAAGTTTTGCTTGGTCCGAAAGCCGTTGAAATCTATTTGATCTAAATCTGATAAAAGAAATTCTCATTATTAGTTCCAAATCAGTAACATCTTATTATAGTTTGCCTCGACCATTTTAACATCTTATTTTCATAAGAAACAAAAAGCGTATTGTTTTAAGTTGTAAGCTATCAATCATTAATCTTCAATGCATTCATCCCCAAATATAACTGCCAGCATGACAACTTACTTCAGTTGAGGATATCACAATTTTCACACCTGAATCTTCTGACCGTGTGAACATGATTGGCTTCATATACATTATGTTCTTAAAGTAATCATTCGTTTTGGAATCAGCTAATGTTGGTACGTAAAGCATTACATTATGTTTACACATAATTGTTGCTTGAATTACCTTTATTGGCCTCTAAAACAAAACATGTTCTTGTTGCTGCTTGCTATGTTGCAAATCATGACAACATCTTTTTCTCAATTCTGTATGGATTATTATTTTTAATGTTTATGTTTCTTTACAAACGACTGCACATTTTTTATAGACTATTCCCACAAATAAGAAAGCTTGCAAATTCTAGCTTAGGGACATTGTAAATTCTTTCTTGCACCCGCTTCATTCCCATTGTTATTTTCTATTTACCATAGATATATTAATGTGTTTGTGTATCAATATTTTTCTTTTATTTTTTTGGTGGGTTTATGCTGCCTAAAAATTGCAAAATTCTTGTGTCAGGAAAACTCAAAACCTTCTATGAGCTTGCTGGCAATTGCAGTTGGAATAAAGCAGAAAGAAATAGTCGACAGAATTGTTAAAAAGGTAATGATCTATTGGCTTATGCCCTTTACATTAGAATATTCTGTCCATTTATAATGTTTTGAAATATCTGTTGTTGTTTTGCAGTTTCTATCAAGTGATTTTGTTGTAATGCTTTTTCATTATGATGGCGCTGTGGATAAATGGAGAGATTTAAATTGGAGTGATCGTGCCATACACGTGTCTGTGATGAATCAAACAAAATGGTAACATTGATTCTCTCACGTGGTTACCTAAAACTATAGTTATTTACAAATAAGTTACCATTGATTGGGTGGGAACACTCTCTACATGTTTGGATAACATCTTGATGAAATAATACTGTATGATGACATAGGTGGTTCGCCAAGCGTTTCTTGCATCCAGATATAGTTTCTGAGTACGAATATATTTTTCTTTGGGATGAGGACCTTGGAGTTGAGAATTTTGACCCGAAACGGTAAGCATAGTCAGTTAAATTTTTAAAATGATCTTGGCATCCCTATAGTGATTACTATTAAATTTTCACATATCATTCTGGTCTGCTATGATGTTATTAATAAAATACAATATGACACAGAGACGTAATGCATTGTGTTTTGATCTTGTTAATCTCATATAGATATCTATCCATTGTTCGGGAAGAGGGACTTGAAATATCACAGCCAGCACTTGATCCTGACAAGTCAGATGTGTATCATCCAATTACTGCACGTGTGAAGAAATTAAAAGTGCACAGGTTAGTGCAGTTTGTATCCTGGAAACTGGATTTCCTATGGCAAAAGTACTGCTTAATATATGAAGAGACCAGTGCTGGTGAGGTACTGTTTAGTCCTTGGTGTATCTTTCAAGAGAAAGAAAAGAAAAATAATATGGCTGTATATTGCTTGATTAGTCCTTGCACTAACTTTCAAGCCTGCATGTTTTAGCTCGGAGATATTTATATCATAGTTACAAAAATACACGTAAAAGCCAACTCCTAATGGAGACTAATAAAAGACAATAATTTCAACCATATGTTAGACAGGCACCAGAATCCAAACGTTTAACCTGTTAGGGAATGCGCCAGCAATGTGTATCAACCATGTTTTATTACCTATCCATTTTGGCGGCCTGCTTTGACCCAGACCACAACCTGGCCCGACGGGTAATCTTTGGGCATTTTATTTGTAATAACCTAGTATACATAAATTTCATTTGCATTTATGTAGAGGACGAGCTATGATTGAATTTGAGAGGAATGGGCAAACCATATGCATTTGCTTTGTGCATTTGCTATGGTTCTTTTCATCAATTGCCTTCTGGCATAGCCACCATTTGGGGGATTTCATAACTTGTATTTTTCTTAGTGTAATATTCTTTTTTAACTCTGGGATATCAAGGTATACATTAGAATTGACTTTTATCCATATTCGCCTAATTTTTTAACAGAAGGTTTTATAAGTTTAAAGGCAGTGGAAGGTGTGATGACCACAGCTCTGCCCCTCCGTGTGCAGGGTAAGCAAACTGCCTATGCACTATCCTCTATGTTTATATTTCTGACTAAACTATTACATCGCTGAAACGTTTCCCTTCTGGTGTTTGGTACAGTTGGGTGGAAATGATGGCACCTGTATTTTCAAGAGCTGCTTGGCAATGTGTATGGTACATGATCCAGGTACATAACCCCTAGAAAACCAACACCACCCACATTCACAACATATTTACTTTTGGTAATGAACAAAAATATATGACAGAATGTAGATGGGTTGCCAATAGATCTCATCATTTATGCTCCACCAATTTTTTATTATTAATGGTTACACTGAATAACCCATGTAAGTTAAACACAAGAATATATTGTTGGAGAAACAACCATTAGACGCAAAATAGTATTTTGGATAATTTTTACTATTTTCTAGAAAGGTCAGGCCAGAAGCCTTCCTGTAAAGCATATAGTTACTATGCAATATATATAAGTGCTTTTGAAATTTCGGAATTCAAAATTGGATTATGTCAACTCTGCACTGTATTTGTTTCTGTGGAAATTTTTCTCTAAGAAACTTTATGGTGAATATAATTATTCTGTGATTATTTATTCTCCCTACAGAATGACTTGATCCATGCATGGGGCCTGGACGTGCAGCTTGGTTATTGTGCACAAGTAATTCTTCTACCTTATAGCTTTCATTTTTACCTCCTTGGCTATACTTTGTGATACCAGAACTATTATCTTTCAGGGAGATCGAACAAAAAATGTTGGTGTGGTTGACTCTGAATATATAGTTCATCTTGGTCTTCCTACACTTGGTGTCTCAGATGGAAATAAGGCAAGTATAATGGCATCAAGGCATCTTGGGCCTTTGTAACTGTTTACAATAGTAATGCTGTGCTCTTACATAAACATTTATTGATAAGGATGTGTATCAAACATGATTTCTGGTTTTGTTCTAGCAGGATAAGCTGACGCATGGTCTTGATGTTCAATATTATTATCTGATTTGCTTTTTCTTTTCCATCTATTCCTTTGCATAGGTGACTAATGCCCCAGCTCCTCCTCAGAAAGGGGACCCCGAAGCATTGGTGTGTTTTGAATTTCTTTTTCTGTATTAGATTCTTTATTTACATATAATTGATGCTCCTCCCCACCAATAATGTGAGTTCATATTTTGTAATTTTAGGCACCATCTGCCTCTGATAAAGTCAATGACAGAGCTAAAGTAAGCCTTCTTCACATGTCCTATTTTGTCAACTGCTTTGTCCTGCTCATCAGGATTGTGGATTCTGTCAATCTTGTATTCTCTCGCTCTGTGTGCACGCCCATGGGCATTTGTAGACGATGCAACTATTTCATGTACATTCTTTGCAACTACTTATCTGGTGAGTGTGACATGTTGGCAGGTTAGGATGCAGTCCTTTATTGACATGCAGATCTTTAAGGAAAGATGGAGTAATGCAGTAAAGGAGGATAAATGTTGGGTTGACCCATTTCAACTATCAGCAAACTGAAGTAACCAAAAAGTCTATTTACAGGACATCCATCACGCAAAATGCATGGTTGGTGGCCCTTCTTATACACAGACAACAGAAATCAGACTCACATCACTGTGCATACAATTACTGCGTGAGACAATATATCACAAACGACATATAGAATTTTCTGGTGATGCAAATTCATTTCAAACAGCTGACGACAACTATTTGAAGACTGAAATGGAAGTTGTGATATGAAATTCACTCACCAATTTGGTTGAACAGCTGGTGCCTGGTGACACAACGTATTGTTGTATTCCGGGCAGGAATGATCCGTACAGCTTATTTTGTTGTGATTGTATCATCGATTCGTTGTAAATTGCACCATATAAAGGCTCTTTTGTTGATAAAGGTTGTACATTTCTGTTTTCTTTAGGGAATTCAGTGTTTGTTGAGATGCAATTGTGTGTAAGGTTCTTTGTTTGCAGTTTATTAAAGCGAACAGATAAGTTTGTGGAAAGAATCCTCTAGCCGGCTCTTTGGCAATTGATGGGTAGGTGAAGCATTAGCTTAATTGTGAAGGGAGAAGAAAGGGAAGGGCATGAAATTATTTGAGTATGAAGTGAAGTTTTTAGAACTGCAACCCTATATTTCATAAAAATAACACACAACCATGGACATCATCATCACAAGAAGCATACACAAAGTTGCAAAACAACACAAGCCTAGAATCCAACACTTTGATTTTGCAAAACATAGCCTGATCGTTCTTTGTAATTTTTGCTACATCATTAGTTAACATGTCACATATTGTTACATCATAACATGCTGTTTCCAACTAACGCCCGGTTTGAGATTGCTTTTTTTTCACCCAAAATTTGTTTCACTTCAAAGTTAAGGTGTTTACTAAATCATATGGAATTGGGGTATGAAAATGTCATAATTGTTGGGTTAAAGTAGATGACAAATTTGGAATTTTTAAAATTGTGTGAGTATATAATGGGTAAAAAAGATGGATTCGTAATGGGTTAGTTCTCTAGGAATTAGAATACCACCTCCCACTCAAGAATTGAATTCTTGATTTTGTGTAGGCCCCACTTACTTTTTAATTATTTGATGTGAAGTAAATGCAGAAATCCTCCATAATTGAAATTCAATTCCTGATTAGTAAACACATCATAAAATAGTGGAGATTAAATGCTATTACACGGTCATTGAACAAAAGGTCCCAAAAACAAGGAGAATTTGGAAACCCAGTGGGGGGTTTTAGACTTATTTTCTCTAATATGTCGAATTCTTAATATTATTATTTTTTTAGTAGAAGTAATAGTCTCTAAATTATAGGGGAGAAGGTTTCTTACACACTCACACACTATTACGGTGTCATAAGGATTTGAAGATAAGATCATTAGTTTGCAAGTCAAGATTCTTTTTCACTGAGTTAGATGGTGTTAACATATGTAGGATAATTATTTAATTTAATGAATAGGGTCACATCATTGTTAAGTTCACTAATTGGATTTGTCATGTCCTGGCCGGCCCACCAAACCAGGCCTAAAGGTCCATGAATTGAGTTTCGTTGAGTTGAGCCCACATCTGCAGCTGCTCCAGCCAGCCGTGACTCTGTGAGTTTGGATATTGGAAGTGAAGCCTCAAGGCGTATGCAGAGAGAGAAACACAAACCTACTATTCTCTCCTCCTCCTTCTCCTTCTCCTTCTCAACACCACCATTTTCTCATTTTCTCATTTTCTCATTTTTCTGATTCAATTTTTTATGCAAACAGTAGGCTATGCACCTTTTTTCTTACTCCCTCAAATCCAAATGCAATCCATTCTCATGAACTGAAGAATTGGGTGGTCCTCCTCCTCCCTCATCCATCCAATGCCCCAACAAAGAAGAAGATGATGAGAAAACCCAAACCCATTGCCATTATCTGCTGTATCAACCACCCACCTGAGCCCTTCCTCTCTCTCCTCCTCCTCATCAAACCCTTCTCCTCCTCTTCCACCATTGCCGCTGCTTCTCCTTCTCTTCCTCCAGTCCCCGAACAGCCACTGGATCTCTCCTCCCAGCTCTTCGCCATTCTCTCCCGCCCCAATTGGCAACGCCACCCTTCCCTCAAGAAACTAATCCCCTCCATTTCCGCTTCCCACGTCTCTTCCCTTTTCGCTCTCAATCTCGACCCCCAGACCGCCCTCGGCTTCTTCAACTGGATCGCCCTCAAACCCGGTTACAGGCACACCGTCCATTGCCATTCCTCCTTGCTCAACATTCTGATCCCCAATGGGTTCTTCCGGGTCGCCGAAAAGATCCGAATTTCGATGATCAAGGCTTCCACTTCCGCTCAGGATGCCTTGTTTGTGCTCGAATTTTTGCGGGGGATGAACCGCGCACTAGAATTCGAGTTCAAGCTCACTGTCAGGTGCTACAATTTGCTCCTAATGTCATTGTCTAGGTTTTCCTTGTTTGAAGATTTGAAAACTCTGTATTTGGAGATGTTAGACGATATGGTTTCACCGAATTTGCATACGTTTAATACCATGATCAATGCCTCCTGTAAATTGGGCAATGTGGCTGAGGCAGACTTGTATTTTAGTAAGATAGGGCAGGCGGGCTTGCGCCCTGATACGTTTACCTACACTTCTTTGATTCTGGGACATTGTAGGAATAAGGATGTGGATACTGGCTATAGGGTTTTTAAGCTAATGCCGCACAAGGGTTGTCAAAGAAATGAGGTTTCCTATACTAATTTAATACATGGGTTTTGTGAGGCAGGTCGGATTGATGAGGCTTTCAAATTGTTTTCTCAAATGGGGGAGGATAATTGTTTTCCAACTGTGCGTACATTTACTGTTCTTATTTGTGCATTGTGTAAATTGGGAAGGAAATTAGAAGCTATGAATCTATTTAAAGAGATGGCGGACAAGGGTTGTGAACCAAATATTCATACTTATACCGTGCTCATTGATAGTATGTGTAAGGAAAATAAGCTTGATGAGGCTAGAAACTTGCTAAACAAGATGTTGGAGAAAGGGTTGGTTCCTAGTGTTGTCACCTACAACGCAATGATTGATGGGTACTGTACGGAGGGAACAGTTGAGGCTGCACTTGATATTTTGGCTTTGATGGAATCAAGTAATTGTTGTCCAAATGCTCGAACATTCAATGAATTGATTTCCGGGTTTTGTAAAAGGAAAAATGTATACCAGGCAATGACACTGCTTAATAAGATGCTTGATCGGAAGCTCTTGCCAAGCCTAGTTACATATAATTCATTAATTCATGGGCAGTGTAAGATAGGCCATTTTGATAGTGCTTATAGGTTGGTTAATTTGATGAAAGATAGTGGTTTGGTTCCTGACCAATGGACTTACAGTGTTCTCATAGACACTCTCTGTAAGAGGGGGAGATTGGAAGAAGCTCATGCCCTGTTCGATTCTCTCAAAGAGAAAGGCATAAAGTCAAATGAAGTGATCTTTACTGCTTTGATTGATGGTTATTGCAAGGTTGGGAAAATCAGCGATGCCCATTCCTTGCTTGATAGAATGCTTGCAGAAGACTGTTCGCCAAACTCGTACACTTACAATGCCTTGATAGATGTGTTGTGCAAAGAAAGAAAACTGAAGGAAGCATTATTACTGGTGGAAAAAATGTTAAGTATTGGTGTGAAACCTACGGTACCTACTTATACAATTCTAATTAAGCAAATGTTGAAAGAAGGGGACTTTGACCATGCTCATAGGCTTTTCGACCAGATGGTGTGTTCTGGTAATCAACCTGACCTATTTACTTACACTACATTTATTCATGCATATTGCGGCATAGGGAATGTAGAAGAGGCAGAGAAGCTGATGATTAAGATGAATGAAGAAGGAATTATAGCAGACTCATTGACTTATACATTATTAATTAATGCATATGGACGTATGGGATTAATTGATTTGGCATTTGATGTTCTTAAGCGTATGTCAAATGCTTGTTGTGATCCTTCTCACTATACATATGCCTTTCTGATCAAACATCTTTCGAATGAAAAGTTAATGAAGACAAACAATAATATAGTGGGACTTGATTTGGTCCCAAATGTCTCCTTCATCGATATTACTGGTGTTTGGAAGACAATGGATTTTGAAATTGCTTTAGAGCTCCTTGAAAAAATGGTTGGGCATGGTTGTGCACCCAGTACAAACACTTATGAGAAGCTTATAGTAGGTCTTTGCAAAGAGGGACGCTTGGACGTAGCCCAGAGGTTATACAGTCATATGAGAGAGAGAGGAATTTCTCCCAGTGAGGATATTTATAATTCTCTTCTTACTTGTTGCTGTAAGCTGCAAGTGTATGGAGAGGCATCAATATTGGTGGATGCGATGATTAAGGATGGTTATTTACCAACATTGGAGTCCTCAACGTTGCTTGTATGTGGGCTTCTTGATGAAGAGAAGACTGAGAAGGCAAAAGCCGTTTTTCGTACTTTGCTTCGTTGTGGGTATAACTACGATGAAGTAGCTTGGAAAGTTCTCCTTGATGGTTTACTTAAGAGGGGTCTTGTCAACATATGCTCTGAGCTCGTAAGCATCATGGAGAAGATGGGTTGCCAGCTTCATCCTCAGACATATTCGATGTTGATTGAGGGAATTGATGGACCGTAAAATACTGATATTTGATGTTGGTGTTTTCTGGGTTTTAAATCTTTATCTGTGAGCACTACAAGCAAAGTAATTTTAAAAAATTATATTCACAGCGATTTTGTGTAAGCGCTATGAATTGTGAATACGAGCATTTACACCTAGTTATTTATGTATCGGGAGAATGTGACACAAGATTTGTAGTCTTTCAAGTGTTTTATTTGCTATGTGAATATACTTTCTCTTCATTCAGTGAGTACATATATCATATGTTTCTCTGGGACGAGGACCTTGGCATTGAGGATTTTGACAAAAAATGGTAAGCATAACCTGTTAACTTTGATAGAATGATCTTGGCACTCTGTGATGTGATTGCTGTTAGATTTCACACTATTTTGGATGCTTTGATGTTTTAGATTTTTTTTAAAAATGCAATCCTGCACATGTATGTATGCATGCTTATTTCCTGTGCACAAGGCTATTAACTGCAATATCTGAATTGGAATTATTAGAATGTCATGATTTTGTTTAATCTGAGTGCACAAGAAATTAAACCTAGAATAGTTAAATGCCAAAGTCTAGTTTCTCCAAATTAGAGTCACAAAGCCATTCAATTACCCCTAAACATACACACGTGAATGCATAATATGTGACTATTTCTCCTAGTACTAAGTATTATACCTCACATTCTTGTCTTTCCGATAAAAAACTGTCTCACATATTTATACAACAATAGTTTGAACAGATTTTATGGAGAAATTGTTAGAAATGAGGGCATTACTTTTCATGAAAAAATGGTTTTAAAATTTAGACCACTACTTTACCAATTTCTTACTAGTAAAGATGACGACACTAAACCAATCTTTGTATTTTGAACAATAAGATACATTATCACATAAACAATTTCTTTGTTTCTCCTTTTATCCCATGGTGCTCAAATTTTTTTTATTGCATCATGAACATGTTAAATCTTGTGTAGATATCTAGCAATTGTTCGGGAAGAGGGACTTCAAATGTCACAACTTGCAGTTGGCTGCCAACTAAGAGCCGTATCATTCAGTCAATGCATGCATGAAGAAATCAGAAGTGCAGTGGTTAGTGTATTTCTTTTTCCTGGACAAGTAGATTTCTTTTGTAATATTGCAGTCTAACTAATAGCCACAGTACTTGAAAACAAAGGCACCAATATAGTTAAGGGATTTATCAGTACATGGATTTCTTTCAAGACAAAGGAAAAAAAAGACAAAGCTAAAAGAAAATAATGGAAGGTAGAATTTTGGCATTTTGTAGGTGAAAGGTACTCTGGGAAGAATAAAAACTTTCCGGCAAGAATACAGTTGATAATGGTGGTCTTTTCTGATGGAAGAACATATCTGGCCTTTTCTGTTGCTTTTTAAGTGTAAACATATCTGGCTTCATCTTCTTCGAGTCTATAGTTTTCTTTTCACTTCCTGTGTGGTGTTATTGTACTAAGGAGAGTCTCAAACCCCAAACCCTAAATCTTAGACCCTCAGTGAAAGTAAAAGTTTCTGCTTCGCTTTCCTTCTAAGAGATCCATCTTTACTCTGATTCTTGTTTCATTTTTCTATAAATTTTGTCCTCTTCCTCATGACCCAGATTGATCTTTAAATTTACATAGGGTCCTAAACTTCGAAAGGTGCAAAACCCAGCAATTTGATTTTTTTTTTTTACCCCCAAAATTATCTCACATCTGGTCGTCTTAGTCCTTGTTAGGCCAAGATAAATAGGGGGAGTGTAGACATCTTTTATAAGAGGATTGAAAGTTTGATGGTAAATTTTCTGTGCGAAGGAATGATGGAAGGGAATAAGGGTAATTTGGTCAAATGGGACTTGGTGATGCACATGAAGGAAAAAAGGGAGTTTAGGTGTTGGGAATTTAACAAGGAGAAATAAACCTTTACATGTGAAATGGTTATGGAGGTTTTCACAGGAGAGGGATGCTCTTTGGTAGGGGTTGCATGACAATGGGTGGGGTTCGCAAAATTGTGACGAGAGGATCAGGTCGATGTCCTTGGAAATATATCTCCCGAGGCCTTCATTCTTTGGTGTCTTTTTGTTGGTTTGGGGTTGGAAATGGACAAAGCGTGAGGTTTTGAGAAGACTGTTGTGTAGGAGAAACAGCTTTTTGTAATCTATTTCTTCGTTATGCAGACGATCCCTTTTCCTTAATATCCCATTGCAAGCTCGTGTACAAATTCTTCTTCTTTCCCTTTGAGCTAGGATTTTGGGTTTAGAAGGAATCTAAATGATCAGGAGGTGGGGGTTAACAGAGTTATTGGCTGTCTTTGAAAATGTGTGGTTCCATCTAGAGTGGATAGAAGAGTAAGGATTTTGGGGTTGCTGGGGGTCTTCTCAAGTAATTTTTTTTCAAAACAGCTAATGGACAACTCTTCTCTCTTCCTTTTTGGCCCCTCTCATGCAATTTGAAAGGCTGAAGTACCTCCTAAGGTAGGGGTGTTAGCTTGGATTATAGTTCATGGGTGGTTGAATACTTGTGATATGGTTCAGAGGAGACAACCTTCTTGGTGCCTTTTACCCTATCCATGTGTGATGTGTAAAAATGATAGTGCAAGATTTGAGTTCTTTGGAGGCAGAAAGAGGGGCATAGTGTTGAAAAGATGCACTGTATTGGTAATTTTTTGGGTGGAATGGATATAGAGGTATAGGAGGATCTTTGAGGAAGTAAGGAGTGAGGAGGTGGATCTTGTGGGAGAGGGTTCGATTTTGGGCATCCCTTTGGCGTGAGTACCTTCAGAGTTTAGGAATAAGCTCTTCTCAGACTGTTTTTGATGATTTGGAACGCTGCTGTATTTTAGCCTTTAAATCAATCTATCTGCGTTTAATATTGTACATCAAATCAATCTGCGTTTAATACTGTGCATCAAATCAATCTGCAGGCAAATTGCTTTTATGAGTAAGGAAGTCAAAATTGGGTTGCGTCAACTCTGCACATTATCTTGTCTTTATGGGTAATTGTTCTCTGATTAATTATTCCCTCGAAACTGACAGAATGACTTGATTCATGGGGATGTGAAATGCAGCTCTGCTATTTTGCACAAGTAACTTTTCAGTGTTGTAGGCTGTAGGCTTGTAGCTTCCATTTTTAACCCTCTTGGCTGTGTTCCTTGACTATCTTTCAGGGAGATCGAACGAAAAATGTTTCTGTCATCGGCTCTGAATGGTTTATCATAGTTTTCATACATGGCATCGCAGATGACATTAAGGCAAGTAGCCAAGTATCAGCCTCTTCAGGTTTTTAACTGATTGGAATGGCAATGATGACAAATTGTCTGGTTTGTCACGGTTTGGGTCCTACCCATGTATAGCAGGTGACTAACATCAATAGTTTGATGAATATAAGCTGATACGGATGTGCATTTGAAATGATTGCTTATTTTGTTCTGGCAGGATAAGCTCACCTTTGGTGTTGATGTTCCATGTTGTCACACTTTCCATCTATTCATTTGCACAGGTGAATATTGCCCTACCTCCTCAAAAAAAGACTCAAAAGTATGTGTGTTTGGTTGACCCATATCAGTTGGTGGCCATTCTTATACTCAAGTCAATAGAGACCAGAAATCTGTCATTGTGCATGCAAATATCTGGTGCAGAACCAAAGGAGAACCAGCTGGGGGAGCTCAGAAGCGGTTGGTATCCTACTCAACAGCCTTACCTGGCATGATGCATCTCAAACAATATATAGAACTTTCTGATGAACGATACGACAGCTGATTAAAAGTATATCAAGTGTGATTAGGAACTCCTTAACTGATTGTGAAATTAAAAATATTTCTTCTCCATAAGCTTCGAGACGCTCCTCATGAAAACGGCATAAGCATTTTTTGTTGTTGCCTCACACATTTTTCAGTTACATTTGGGAGAAAGTATATTAGCTAATGCCGTAGCCAAAGGACATTTTATTCATTTGCTGGTTTCTCTTCTGTTTTTTGTGTTTTTTTTCTTCCCAAAACAGACTATATTATTAGAACTTGAACATGGGATAATATTGTTGTACAATGAATTTCCAAAGAAATACAAAGAAAATGACAGCATATGAAACTTCAATCCCTCTCAATCCCTAAATCATACACTTTACCCAAATCGATTTAGGGCTGACACACAATATCAAGTCCAGAATGAATTCCATAATTAATAAATTCAAGTCCCAAAAATTCATACGAATATGTTAAAGGTGAGTAGAGAAATACGATGTAGACCTTTTTGGTCGAATGGATATGGAATGGATGTTTTCATTGAAAACGGGCAGTGCCCACGTTGTTATTTTTGTTGCTGTTTTTCTATTTCTTTTTTAATATCTTTTCCTATTTCTCTCTTGTATTGGGATATATCTTTACTAAAGGAAGCAGTATGACCCCATCTAGTTATAACATTTGGTAGAAAACAATGGTGGACGACACCGTTTCAGTCTAAAAACACGCTTTTTAAAACCTTGTTGTGTTGGGATATCCATCATTCCTATTTCTTTTTGTGTTGGGATTCTCAATTACATGCACTATATAAATATGAGGAAAGTGAGCTACCTATATTCTATAGCTTACCCCACAATCTCTAAAGCTCTCAAGAGACGTACTTAACTCCCAAAATCTCTCTTCCATCGATTTGCACATCAATCCGTCTTAATTTTATCATGACACCCTGCAATACTACTTGTACCAAAAGAAAAAACAAGTTGCAGCACTAGCACCACAATATCTCATAAACATCGCCGCTGAAAAGCACCACCATGTTCAATCTTGATGATCTCCCTGACTTTTTATTGGTCGAAATCCTTTGTCGAATTCCTCAAAAATCGGCAGTTCAATGCATGTGCGTGTCCAAACGTTGGTACGGTCTTGTTTCTGATCCTTATTTTGTTGGCCGCTTTCTACGTCTCCGAAGTGATAACCAGGTGCCCATTTATACTTATTTCCTGTTCACGAATCCAAAGAAGAAAAGGAAATTGTTTTTTTCCGATTGGGGGAAGGAGCCTAAAAGAAGCAGCGACTTGTCTCTTTTGAGTTTCCTGCCTCCTTTTCAAGAGCCTCCTGCTGTCAGTGTCAACACACGAGGTGGTGAACCCATCGTGGTAGGGGAATACAATGACTTGCTTTTATGCTGCGCAACCACGTGGTTTCAACGTTATTACTACATTTGCAATCCATACACCAAGCAATGGGATGCTCTTCCTCCCCCTCCTCAATGCTACAAAAGTATAAGAGTTGGATTCATTTGCGATCCCTACTATAACACTACTAGTACTACCAGTACAATATTCCAGCTTAATGCCGAGTATAGGTACAGTGTTGTGCGATTACTCCCTGAATTTCCAGGGCTTGAGAATTCATCATCCTCCCAATTCAAAGCACAGATTTTCTCTTCTGAGACCGGTAAGTGGACAGAGTCGGTTGTATTAAGTCCACGAAGCTTTCGTTTCGATAACTTGGCTTGCAATGCCGGGGTTGCGTGCAATGGAATGTTGTACTGGTGGAGTGCTGCTCATGCTGATGATGGTAGCTTTATTATTGGTTTGGATCCCTACTCCAATAATAGTAGCAGCACTGGTGGCGATCATAATAAGTATTATTTACGTTTCATCGATAAGCCTGAAAATGAGGATGGATACATAGACTTGGTAGGTGTGTGTAACAGAGAAGGGTGTCTGCGAATGTGCCTGCTAGACTCATATGGTAATATAAGTGTTTTCGATTTTAAAGATGATCAAGTTGTGGACAGCGCTGCTGCAGGCAAATGGTGTTTGGTAGGCGAAACTTCCATGTACCCATTGTTTTTGGAAAAATTGACACGTGAGGGGCGCTGGGTTGACAAGTTTATGGGTCTTGCTTTCGACCCAATTAACAAGGATAAGATTTATCTAGAATGGGATCAACACATTTTTGTACTTGACATTCGTTTAGGATTGTTTTGGGAGGGGTGGGAACCTCCGTGTAGTTTTAGTCCGATTCTTGTTGGGAGAGTTGCCTTCCCAGTTGTCCTCCAATGGTGGCCGACACCAGTTACTAGACACAAATGGACGTCCTCGAGTTCAAATCGTGTACCAGAAGGGCATGGTGGCCCGAGAACCAGAAGCTCAACAAGGAAGAGACCTCGTTCTCAAAACCGCAGATTTCTTATTGCAGAGATAAAAATGAAAATTAGATAGGCTAGTTTGAATGCGCAAGCAGTTTCATCCGCTCATTCAATTCAAGAAACAGAAGACAAAGTTACTTAATCCATATTTTATAGTTTCTGCTTGCAAAAGCTTGCAAGAAGCGGTGCATAATGTTATCCCTCATTATCTTCCCATTGTATTGTGCTCTATTTGCTGCCATAGCAGCTTTAGAACCATGATTTTGAATAAATAATAATAATAATAAAATTAATCAAAATTGCAAAGTCCAGCTTTTATTTTGTGTGTTCTATCCTCTGGTATTTATTATTTAAAAGTTCTCCTTATGTTAAATGAACTAATGTTTGCTAATATAAGGTATAAACAAACATCATTTCATCCGACTCAAAGTTGAGAGATCGAAAGTGAAAAGAAAAAAAAAACGAATCCAAAAAAATTCTATAAAGGGTTTAGGGTCAACATCCTAAACCCTAAACAACATTACAAAACACATATTAAATCAATCCACCATATTTTTATCAACCATATTAACCAATCCACAAAAACAAAAACCTTATATTAAAATGCATAAAGATTCAACACCTAAAGTAACAAACTTTAAACCTATCAACCTACTAAGAAACATTATAAACATTGCAGGACAGTCAACAATGTAATTTATCTCGGTTACAACTATATCGATGTATTGAACCTTATTTATGTTTCTAATATTGAAAAAAAAAAAAAAAGCAAGCCAAAAACAAATTATAAAATAGAATGAGCTAAAATTATGTAATAAAGAAAAATACATGAAAAGGAAAAAAAATGTAAAATAAAAAGTAAACACAAAGTAAAGAGCAAAAGGAACAAAGACAAAAATATATACAAAAAGAAAAAACTGAAATGAAAAAGAGGAGAAAAAGCAAGATTGGGAAAGAGAAAAAAAAAATGGAAACAATATGTTTAATATTATTAATAAAAAAAATGGAAACAGTATTGCGTTTGAAATGTCCACTGTATTGGGGGTTGTGGGCTCTTATCGGGTAGTAGCTCCATTGCTTGCTGTTTATTTTAATATGTTTAATATAAATAATAATAAAATCCTTAAATGAAACGGCGTCGTTTCTCCGTGAATAAAAAGACTAAAAAAGGAAGCGCTCTGCGTGCAATGCTGTTTGCTGCGCTGAAGTTGAAGTTGCTGCAACCCTTTGAGGCATTTCTCCATGGCATCCGAGCGTAATTTTGAGTACACGGGTGTATTGAACAATGGAATTGCGCTTGCTGCAGTTGCAAACCCAGAAGTGCAGAATCGAAGCGGCAGAACCAAATTTCAGACAGTGAGCGAACAAGTCGGTACCCTCAAGCAGACAATCTCTATTCCTGAGGCGGTGAGTTTTCTTTGTTTTCCGTAATTTATAATTTGGGTTCTTTTTGTTTTGTTTTGGGTTTAATTTTGTGTCTTTTATGTGGCAGGGATATGTTACCCTCAAGCCGCAGAAACAGAGTGCTCAGATGGAAGCCCAGATGGAAGTTCCTGTGGTAGTTTTTAAATTTTAAATTTCCATATGTGTTTTTGGGGTTCTTTTCCTGAATTTATAATTTGGGTTCTTTTTAAAATGTGTGTTTTTTTTTTGTCATTCCTTCAACCACAGACTGAACCTCAGACAGAGACAGATGGAAAACCCACGTCAACCTCAAACTGGCAAGCCTGGAAGGATTCAGATCAACATAAGAGGACTAGGAGGAGGTCTGGGAGTTCTGTGATTAAAATGAAGTAGGTGAGTGGAAATCTCCCATTTTAACTCTCGTGGCTGTCTGTCTTCCTTGTCAATCTTTAAGCATATTAGTTAGAGAAACATATTAGTTAGAGAAACAATTACTAGAGGGTAATTGAAAACTGTATTGCGAAGCTAACCAGTTTCAGGTCTTTACTAAAGGAAGCAGTATGACCCCATCTAGTTATAACATTTGGTAGAAAACAATGGTGGCTGACTGTCTGCAAATTTTGGGCTTCACAAAAAAGGTCCAGCAAGTTTTGGACTTTTCATCTCAATTCAAGGGTCTATATTCTTTGGTGATAATAAAAAACATATAATAAAAACTTTCCAATTTCCATATGGTTTCATTTCAATTCCCTTTTTGTACGGCGATATCTTTTCCTATTTCCCTCTTGTATTTGGATTCTTAATATGCACAGTGCAATATAAAAAGATACCAAAATCTCGATTGATATCTTTTCCTATTTTCCTCTTTTTTTCGACTTAAAAAAGATTTCAGTCTTTTCAAGATGATTTGTTTCATTAAAAGACACGACTTGACGACACCGTTTCAGTCTAAAAACACGCTTTTTAAAACCTTGTTGTGTTGGGATATCCATCATTCCTATTTCTTTTTGTGTTGGGATTCTCAATTACATGCACTATATAAATATGAGGAAAGTGAGCTACCTATATTCTATAGCTTACCCCACAATCTCTAAAGCTCTCAAGAGACGTACTTAACTCCCAAAATCTCTCTTCCATCGATTTGCACATCAATCCGTCTTAATTTTATCATGACACCCTGCAATACTACTTGTACCAAAAGAAAAAACAAGTTGCAGCACTAGCACCACAATATCTCATAAACATCGCCGCTGAAAAGCACCACCATGTTCAATCTTGATGATCTCCCTGACTTTTTATTGGTCGAAATCCTTTGTCGAATTCCTCAAAAATCGGCAGTTCAATGCATGTGCGTGTCCAAACGTTGGTACGGTCTTGTTTCTGATCCTTATTTTGTTGGCCGCTTTCTACGTCTCCGAAGTGATAACCAGGTGCCCATTTATACTTATTTCCTGTTCACGAATCCAAAGAAGAAAAGGAAATTGTTTTTTTCCGATTGGGGGAAGGAGCCTAAAAGAAGCAGCGACTTGTCTCTTTTGAGTTTCCTGCCTCCTTTTCAAGAGCCTCCTGCTGTCAGTGTCAACACACGAGGTGGTGAACCCATCGTGGTAGGGGAATACAATGACTTGCTTTTATGCTGCGCAACCACGTGGTTTCAACGTTATTACTACATTTGCAATCCATACACCAAGCAATGGGATGCTCTTCCTCCCCCTCCTCAATGCTACAAAAGTATAAGAGTTGGATTCATTTGCGATCCCTACTATAACACTACTAGTACTACCAGTACAATATTCCAGCTTAATGCCGAGTATAGGTACAGTGTTGTGCGATTACTCCCTGAATTTCCAGGGCTTGAGAATTCATCATCCTCCCAATTCAAAGCACAGATTTTCTCTTCTGAGACCGGTAAGTGGACAGAGTCGGTTGTATTAAGTCCACGAAGCTTTCGTTTCGATAGCTTGGCTTGCAATGCCGGGGTTGCGTGCAATGGAATGTTGTACTGGTGGAGTGCTGCTCATGCTGATGATGGTAGCTTTATTATTGGTTTGGATCCCTACTCCAATAATAGTAGCAGCACTGGTGGCGATCATAATAAGTATTATTTACGTTTCATCGATAAGCCTGAAAATGAGGATGGATACATAGACTTGGTAGGTGTGTGTAACAGAGAAGGGTGTCTGCGAATGTGCCTGCTAGGCTCATATGGTAATATAAGTGTTTTCGATTTTAAAGATGATCAAGTTGTGGACAGCGCTGCTGCAGGCAAATGGTGTTTGGTAGGCGAAACTTCCATGTACCCATTGTTTTTGGAAAAATTGACACGTGAGGGGCGCTGGGTTGACAAGTTTATGGGTCTTGCTTTCGACCCAAGTAACAAGGATAAGATTTATCTAGAATGGGATCAACACATTTTTGTACTTGACATTCGTTTAGGATTGTTTTGGGAGGGGTGGGAACCTCCGTGTAGTTTTAGTCCGATTCTTGTTGGGAGAGTTGCCTTCCCAGTTGTCCTCCAATGGTGGCCGACACCAGTTACTAGACACAAATGGACGTCCTCGAGTTCAAATCGTGTACCAGAAGGGCATGGTGGCCCGAGAACCAGAAGCTCAACAAGGAAGAGACCTCGTTCTCAAAACCGCAGATTTCTTATTGCAGAGATAAAAATGAAAATTAGATAGGCTAGTTTGAATGCGCAAGCAGTTTCATCCGCTCATTCAATTCAAGAAACAGAAGACAAAGTTACTTAATCCATATTTTATAGTTTCTGCTTTCAAAAGCTTGCAAGAAGTGGTGCATAATTTTATACCTCATTCTCTTCCCATTGTATTGTGCTCTATTTGCTGCCATAGCAGCTTTAGAACCATGATTTTGAATAAATAATAATATATAAAAAATTAATCAAAATTGCCAAGTCCAGCTTTTATTTTGTGTGTTCTATCCTCTGGTATTTATTATTTAAAAGTTCTCCTTATGTTAAATGAACTAATGTTTGCTAATATAAGGTATAAACAAACATCATTTCATCCGACTCAAAGTTGAGAGATCGAAAGTGAAAAGAAAAAAAAAACGAATCCAAAAAAATTCTATAAAGGGTTTAGGGTCAACATCCTAAACCCTAAACAACATTACAAAACACATATTAAATCAATCCACCATATTTTTATCAACCATATTAACCAATCCACAAAAACAAAAACCTTATATTAAAATGCATAAAGATTCAACACCTAAAGTAACAAACTTTAAACCTATCAACCTACTAAGAAACATTATAAACATTGCAGGACAGTCAACAATGTAATTTATCTCGGTTACAACTATATCGATGTATTGAACCTTATTTATGTTTCTAATATTGAAAAAAAATAAAAGCAAGACAAAAACAAATTATAAAATAGAATGAGCTAAAATTATGTAATAAAGAAAAATACATGAAAAGGAAAAAAAATGTAAAATAAAAAGTAAACACAAAGTAAAGAGCAAAAGGAACAAAGACAAAAATATATACAAAAAGAAAAAACTGAAATGAAAAAGAGGAGAAAAAGCAAGATTGGGAAAGAGAAAAAAAAAATGGAAACAATATGTTTAATATTATTAATAAAAAAAATGGAAACAGTATTGCGTTTGAAATGTCCACTGTATTGGAGGTTGTGGGCTTTTATCGGGTAGCAGCAGCTCCATTGCTTGCTGTTTATTTTAATATGTTTAATATAAATAATAATAAAATCCTTAAATGAAACGGCGTGGTTTCTCTGTGAATCAAAAGACTAAAAAAGGAAGCGCTCTGCGTTCAATGCTGCTTGCTGCGCTGAAGTTGAAGTTGCTGCAACCCTTTGACGCATTTCCTCGAACAGATGGCGGGCATGAATTGCCCAGCCATCTAGCCATTGCAGGGGTCAATTTTTCTTCCTCTAGTGACGGATTCAGGAGTTGCAGGGGTCACTTGACCACCCTTGCTCCTCTGTGGATCCGTCTCTGCTCTCAGCCACTGCCACCACCATGGCCCAATTGAAGGCCATTTCCACATTCTCATCCTCCAACCTAGCTTTTCACGGTCCCAAAAGAGGTACATTTTTTTCATAAGAGAAATGGTACATATTCTAAAGAGCGAATTCTGGTTGTAGTTTTGTTGTTGGAGAAAACAGAATTCATTTTAGATTGATGCTAAAGGATTTTGTAAAATTTGAGGAGAAATTAGCAGTACCCAAACACTTAAATGCTTAATTTTTAATAGAAAAATATTTGGTTTACCGTGTGATGGTATATTCTGATATGAACATGTATCACATTTTTAGTTTATATATGAGCAGAGTCATATCCATATCATGGCAAAGATTCTTCTATAAAAAGATGCTAGGTAGGCGGCATTCTAGTTTAATGCCCAGCATTTCAGCCCAATGGGAAGAGAACCCCTGATATTTCTTTCTGAGCTACTGAAGTCACTTAAGCCGTCAATATAGAGAATTAGAGAATAAGGTAGAAAAGGGCCTTCCAAGCTTGCACATCTCTTTTTATTTTACTGTCAAACCATGGCTATGGGTATGTTTGCTATGATTCTTTATTTTAAATATACAACTCTGTCCTCTAGAATTTATTTTGTGATGAGGTTTCAAAATCCCCTTTAATTAATTCATAGAGGCCCAAATAATAGAGGCCCAGTCCCTCATTAAAGCCCAAACAATTTAGACCTAGTTTACCACTATATATAACTGAAACATCAGCCAAATTTATAAACAGAGTAGCCGTTTTCCACTCTCTCCTCTCTCTCAACACTCTCTTCCATGCTCTCTGTCTTCCTTCCTCCCGGAGGAAGAGAAATGAAATCCTCGGTCGGAATCGGGATGAAAGGGGAGCAAATCCAGGCTTCAGCTTGGATTTTCAGCTGGTTTCAGCTGGTTTCCGCTGGATTTTCAGCTGGGTTTGAAGGGTCTTCCAGACGAGGTCGAGGTCCAGCACTATAGTGGTCGAAATGGAAGAACTCGGGTGAGTCCGTACGGAACTTTTGTATTTTTTTTTTCTCCAAATATACGCAATTTTGTTTTCGACTGAAAGGACCCTTTTTTTTATATTTATTTTTAATTTTAAAAAAACTATAAATATAAACGCCACTGTCCTAACGGCTATATCCTGCACATTCATCTTTCAAATATTTTCTTCATCCAAGATTTCCAAGAGCTGTCTTCATCCCATTTCCAAACCAGAGCTGTCCTCATCCCATTTCCAACCCAGATTCTTCATCCCATTTCCAACCCAGAGCTTTCTCCATCCCAAGATTTCCAACCAGAGCTGTCCTCATCCCATTTCCAACCCAGAGCTTTCTCCATCCCAAGATTTCCAACCAGAGCTGTCCTCATCCCATTTCCAACCCAGAGCTTTCTCCATCCCAAGATTTCCAACCAGAGCTGTCCTCATCCCATTTCCAACCCAGAGCTTTCTCCATCCCAAGATTTCCAACCAGAGCTGTCCTCATCCCATTTCCAACCCAGAGCTTTCTCCATCCCAAGATTTCCAACCAGAGCTGTCCTCATCCCATTTCCAACCCAGAGCTTTCTCCATCCCAAGATTTCCAACCAGAGCTGTCCTCATCCCATTTCCAACCCAGAGCTTTCTCCATCCCAAGATTTCCAACCAGAGCTGTCCTCATCCCATTTCCAACCCAGAGCTTTCTCCATCCCAAGATTTCCAACCAGAGCTGTCCTCATCCCATTTCCAACCCAGAGCTTTCTCCATCCCAAGATTTCCAACCAGAGCTGTCCTCATCCCATTTCCAACCCAGAGCTTTCTCCATCCCAAGATTTCCAACCAGAGCTGTCCTCATCCCATTTCCAACCCAGAGCTTTCTCCATCCCAAGATTTCCAACCAGAGCTGTCCTCATCCCATTTCCAACCCAGAGCTTTCTCCATCCCAAGATTTCCAACCAGAGCTGTCCTCATCCCATTTCCAACCCAGAGCTTTCTCCATCCCAAGATTTCCAACCCAGAGCTTTCTTTCCAACCCAGATTCTTCATCCCATTTCCAACCCAGAGCTTTCTTCATCCCAAGATTTCCAACCAGACCTTTCTTTCCAACCCAGAACTTTCTTCATCTTCTTCCCCACCCCATGGCATCCGAGCGTAATTTTGAGTACACGGGTGTATTGAACAATGGAATTGCGCTTGCTGCAGTTGCAAACCCAGAAGTGCAGAATCGAAGCGGCAGAACCAAATTTCAGACAGTGAGCGAACAAGTCGGTACCCTCAAGCAGACAATCTCTATTCCTGAGGCGGTGAGTTTTCTTTGTTTTCCGTAATTTATAATTTGGGTTCTTTTTGTTTTGTTTTGGGTTTAATTTTGTGTCTTTTATGTGGCAGGGATATGTTACCCTCAAGCCGCAGAAACAGAGTGCTCAGATGGAAGCCCAGATGGAAGTTCCTGTGGTAGTTTTTAAATTTTAAATTTCCATATGTGTTTTTGGGGTTCTTTTCCTGAATTTATAATTTGGGTTCTTTTTAAAATGTGTGTTTTTTTTTTGTCATTCCTTCAACCACAGACTGAACCTCAGACAGAGACAGATGGAAAACCCACGTCAACCTCAAACTGGCAAGCCTGGAAGGATTCAGATCAACATAAGAGGACTAGGAGGAGGTCTGGGAGTTCTGTGATTAAAATGAAGTAGGTGAGTGGAAATCTCCCATTTTAACTCTCGTGGCTGTCTGTCTTCCTTGTCAATCTTTAAGCATATTAGTTAGAGAAACATATTAGTTAGAGAAACAATTACTAGAGGGTAATTGAAAACTGTATTGCGAAGCTAACCAGTTTCAGGTCTTTACTAAAGGAAGCAGTATGACCCCATCTAGTTATAACATTTGGTAGAAAACAATGGTGGCTGACTGTCTGCAAATTTTGGGCTTCACAAAAAAGGTCCAGCAAGTTTTGGACTTTTCATCTCAATTCAAGGGTCTATATTCTTTGGTGATAATAAAAAACATATAATAAAAACTTTCCAATTTCCATATGGTTTCATTTCAATTCCCTTTTTGTACGGCGATATCTTTTCCTATTTCCCTCTTGTATTTGGATTCTTAATATGCACAGTGCAATATAAAAAGATACCAAAATCTCGATTGATATCTTTTCCTATTTTCCTCTTTTTTTCGACTTAAAAAAGATTTCAGTCTTTTCAAGATGATTTGTTTCATTAAAAGACACGACTTGACGACACCGTTTCAGTCTAAAAACACGCTTTTTAAAACCTTGTTGTGTTGGGATATCCATCATTCCTATTTCTTTTTGTGTTGGGATTCTCAATTACATGCACTATATAAATATGAGGAAAGTGAGCTACCTATATTCTATAGCTTACCCCACAATCTCTAAAGCTCTCAAGAGACGTACTTAACTCCCAAAATCTCTCTTCCATCGATTTGCACATCAATCCGTCTTAATTTTATCATGACACCCTGCAATACTACTTGTACCAAAAGAAAAAACAAGTTGCAGCACTAGCACCACAATATCTCATAAACATCGCCGCTGAAAAGCACCACCATGTTCAATCTTGATGATCTCCCTGACTTTTTATTGGTCGAAATCCTTTGTCGAATTCCTCAAAAATCGGCAGTTCAATGCATGTGCGTGTCCAAACGTTGGTACGGTCTTGTTTCTGATCCTTATTTTGTTGGCCGCTTTCTACGTCTCCGAAGTGATAACCAGGTGCCCATTTATACTTATTTCCTGTTCACGAATCCAAAGAAGAAAAGGAAATTGTTTTTTTCCGATTGGGGGAAGGAGCCTAAAAGAAGCAGCGACTTGTCTCTTTTGAGTTTCCTGCCTCCTTTTCAAGAGCCTCCTGCTGTCAGTGTCAACACACGAGGTGGTGAACCCATCGTGGTAGGGGAATACAATGACTTGCTTTTATGCTGCGCAACCACGTGGTTTCAACGTTATTACTACATTTGCAATCCATACACCAAGCAATGGGATGCTCTTCCTCCCCCTCCTCAATGCTACAAAAGTATAAGAGTTGGATTCATTTGCGATCCCTACTATAACACTACTAGTACTACCAGTACAATATTCCAGCTTAATGCCGAGTATAGGTACAGTGTTGTGCGATTACTCCCTGAATTTCCAGGGCTTGAGAATTCATCATCCTCCCAATTCAAAGCACAGATTTTCTCTTCTGAGACCGGTAAGTGGACAGAGTCGGTTGTATTAAGTCCACGAAGCTTTCGTTTCGATAGCTTGGCTTGCAATGCCGGGGTTGCGTGCAATGGAATGTTGTACTGGTGGAGTGCTGCTCATGCTGATGATGGTAGCTTTATTATTGGTTTGGATCCCTACTCCAATAATAGTAGCAGCACTGGTGGCGATCATAATAAGTATTATTTACGTTTCATCGATAAGCCTGAAAATGAGGATGGATACATAGACTTGGTAGGTGTGTGTAACAGAGAAGGGTGTCTGCGAATGTGCCTGCTAGGCTCATATGGTAATATAAGTGTTTTCGATTTTAAAGATGATCAAGTTGTGGACAGCGCTGCTGCAGGCAAATGGTGTTTGGTAGGCGAAACTTCCATGTACCCATTGTTTTTGGAAAAATTGACACGTGAGGGGCGCTGGGTTGACAAGTTTATGGGTCTTGCTTTCGACCCAATTAACAAGGATAAGATTTATCTAGAATGGGATCAACACATTTTTGTACTTGACATTCGTTTAGGATTGTTTTGGGAGGGGTGGGAACCTCCGTGTAGTTTTAGTCCGATTCTTGTTGGGAGAGTTGCCTTCCCAGTTGTCCTCCAATGGTGGCCGACACCAGTTACTAGACACAAATGGACGTCCTCGAGTTCAAATCGTGTACCAGAAGGGCATGGTGGCCCGAGAACCAGAAGCTCAACAAGGAAGAGACCTCGTTCTCAAAACCGCAGATTTCTTATTGCAGAGATAAAAATGAAAATTAGATAGGCTAGTTTGAATGCGCAAGCAGTTTCATCCGCTCATTCAATTCAAGAAACAGAAGACAAAGTTACTTAATCCATATTTTATAGTTTCTGCTTTCAAAAGCTTGCAAGAAGTGGTGCATAATTTTATACCTCATTCTCTTCCCATTGTATTGTGCTCTATTTGCTGCCATAGCAGCTTTAGAACCATGATTTTGAATAAATAATAATATATAAAAAATTAATCAAAATTGCCAAGTCCAGCTTTTATTTTGTGTGTTCTATCCTCTGGTATTTATTATTTAAAAGTTCTCCTTATGTTAAATGAACTAATGTTTGCTAATATAAGGTATAAACAAACATCATTTCATCCGACTCAAAGTTGAGAGATCGAAAGTGAAAAGAAAAAAAAAACGAATCCAAAAAAATTCTATAAAGGGTTTAGGGTCAACATCCTAAACCCTAAACAACATTACAAAACACATATTAAATCAATCCACCATATTTTTATCAACCATATTAACCAATCCACAAAAACAAAAACCTTATATTAAAATGCATAAAGATTCAACACCTAAAGTAACAAACTTTAAACCTATCAACCTACTAAGAAACATTATAAACATTGCAGGACAGTCAACAATGTAATTTATCTCGGTTACAACTATATCGATGTATTGAACCTTATTTATGTTTCTAATATTGAAAAAAAAAAAAAAAGCAAGCCAAAAACAAATTATAAAATAGAATGAGCTAAAATTATGTAATAAAGAAAAATACATGAAAAGGAAAAAAAATGTAAAATAAAAAGTAAACACAAAGTAAAGAGCAAAAGGAACAAAGACAAAAATATATACAAAAAGAAAAAACTGAAATGAAAAAGAGGAGAAAAAGCAAGATTGGGAAAGAGAAAAAAAAAATGGAAACAATATGTTTAATATTATTAATAAAAAAAATGGAAACAGTATTGCGTTTGAAATGTCCACTGTATTGGAGGTTGTGGGCTTTTATCGGGTAGCAGCAGCTCCATTGCTTGCTGTTTATTTTAATATGTTTAATATAAATAATAATAAAATCCTTAAATGAAACGGCGTGGTTTCTCTGTGAATCAAAAGACTAAAAAAGGAAGCGCTCTGCGTTCAATGCTGCTTGCTGCGCTGAAGTTGAAGTTGCTGCAACCCTTTGACGCATTTCCTCGAACAGATGGCGGGCATGAATTGCCCAGCCATCTAGCCATTGCAGGGGTCAATTTTTCTTCCTCTAGTGACGGATTCAGGAGTTGCAGGGGTCACTTGACCACCCTTGCTCCTCTGTGGATCCGTCTCTGCTCTCAGCCACTGCCACCACCATGGCCCAATTGAAGGCCATTTCCACATTCTCATCCTCCAACCTAGCTTTTCACGGTCCCAAAAGAGGTACATTTTTTTCATAAGAGAAATGGTACATATTCTAAAGAGCGAATTCTGGTTGTAGTTTTGTTGTTGGAGAAAACAGAATTCATTTTAGATTGATGCTAAAGGATTTTGTAAAATTTGAGGAGAAATTAGCAGTACCCAAACACTTAAATGCTTAATTTTTAATAGAAAAATATTTGGTTTACCGTGTGATGGTATATTCTGATATGAACATGTATCACATTTTTAGTTTATATATGAGCAGAGTCATATCCATATCATGGCAAAGATTCTTCTATAAAAAGATGCTAGGTAGGCGGCATTCTAGTTTAATGCCCAGCATTTCAGCCCAATGGGAAGAGAACCCCTGATATTTCTTTCTGAGCTACTGAAGTCACTTAAGCCGTCAATATAGAGAATTAGAGAATAAGGTAGAAAAGGGCCTTCCAAGCTTGCACATCTCTTTTTATTTTACTGTCAAACCATGGCTATGGGTATGTTTGCTATGATTCTTTATTTTAAATATACAACTCTGTCCTCTAGAATTTATTTTGTGATGAGGTTTCAAAATCCCCTTTAATTAATTCATAGAGGCCCAAATAATAGAGGCCCAGTCCCTCATTAAAGCCCAAACAATTTAGACCTAGTTTACCACTATATATAACTGAAACATCAGCCAAATTTATAAACAGAGTAGCCGTTTTCCACTCTCTCCTCTCTCTCAACACTCTCTTCCATGCTCTCTGTCTTCCTTCCTTATGGCCAACACTCTCTTCCATGCTCTCTGTCTTCCTTCCTCCCGGAGGAAGAGAAATGAAATCCTCGGTCGGAATCGGGATGAAAGGGGAGCAAATCCAGGCTTCAGCTTGGATTTTCAGCTGGTTTCAGCTGGTTTCCGCTGGATTTTCAGCTGGGTTTGAAGGGTCTTCCAGACGAGGTCGAGGTCCAGCACTATAGTGGTCGAAATGGAAGAACTCGGGTGAGTCCGTACGGAACTTTTGTATTTTTTTTTTCTCCAAATATACGCAATTTTGTTTTCGACTGAAAGGACCCTTTTTTTTATATTTATTTTTAATTTTAAAAAAACTATAAATATAAACGCCACTGTCCTAACGGCTATATCCTGCACATTCATCTTTCAAATATTTTCTTCATCCAAGATTTCCAAGAGCTGTCTTCATCCCATTTCCAAACCAGAGCTGTCCTCATCCCATTTCCAACCCAGATTCTTCATCCCATTTCCAACCCAGAGCTTTCTCCATCCCAAGATTTCCAACCAGAGCTGTCCTCATCCCATTTCCAACCCAGATTCTTCATCCCATTTCCAACCCAGAGCTTTCTCCATCCCAAGATTTCCAACCAGAGCTGTCCTCATCCCATTTCCAACCCAGAGCTTTCTCCATCCCAAGATTTCCAACCCAGAGCTTTCTTTCCAACCCAGATTCTTCATCCCATTTCCAACCCAGAGCTTTCTTCATCCCAAGATTTCCAACCAGACCTTTCTTTCCAACCCAGAACTTTCTTCATCTTCTTCCCCACCCCATGGCATCCGAGCGTAATTTTGAGTACACGGGTGTATTGAACAATGGAATTGCGCTTGCTGCAGTTGCAAACCCAGAAGTGCAGAATCGAAGCGGCAGAACCAAATTTCAGACAGTGAGCGAACAAGTCGGTACCCTCAAGCAGACAATCTCTATTCCTGAGGCGGTGAGTTTTCTTTGTTTTCCGTAATTTATAATTTGGGTTCTTTTTGTTTTGTTTTGGGTTTAATTTTGTGTCTTTTATGTGGCAGGGATATGTTACCCTCAAGCCGCAGAAACAGAGTGCTCAGATGGAAGCCCAGATGGAAGTTCCTGTGGTAGTTTTTAAATTTTAAATTTCCATATGTGTTTTTGGGGTTCTTTTCCTGAATTTATAATTTGGGTTCTTTTTAAAATGTGTGTTTTTTTTTTGTCATTCCTTCAACCACAGACTGAACCTCAGACAGAGACAGATGGAAAACCCACGTCAACCTCAAACTGGCAAGCCTGGAAGGATTCAGATCAACATAAGAGGACTAGGAGGAGGTCTGGGAGTTCTGTGATTAAAATGAAGTAGGTGAGTGGAAATCTCCCATTTTAACTCTCGTGGCTGTCTGTCTTCCTTGTCAATCTTTAAGCATATTAGTTAGAGAAACATATTAGTTAGAGAAACAATTACTAGAGGGTAATTGAAAACTGTATTGCGAAGCTAACCAGTTTCAGGTCTTTACTAAAGGAAGCAGTATGACCCCATCTAGTTATAACATTTGGTAGAAAACAATGGTGGCTGACTGTCTGCAAATTTTGGGCTTCACAAAAAAGGTCCAGCAAGTTTTGGACTTTTCATCTCAATTCAAGGGTCTATATTCTTTGGTGATAATAAAAAACATATAATAAAAACTTTCCAATTTCCATATGGTTTCATTTCAATTCCCTTTTTGTACGGCGATATCTTTTCCTATTTCCCTCTTGTATTTGGATTCTTAATATGCACAGTGCAATATAAAAAGATACCAAAATCTCGATTGATATCTTTTCCTATTTTCCTCTTTTTTTCGACTTAAAAAAGATTTCAGTCTTTTCAAGATGATTTGTTTCATTAAAAGACACGACTTGACGACACCGTTTCAGTCTAAAAACACGCTTTTTAAAACCTTATTGTGTTGGGATATCCATCATTCCTATTTCTTTTTGTGTTGGGATTCTCAATTACATGCACTATATAAATATGAGGAAAGTGAGCTACCTATATTCTATAGCTGACCCCACAATCTCTAAAGCTCTCAAGAGACGTACTTAACTCCCAAAATCTCGCTTCCATCGATTTGCACATCAATCCGTCTTAATTTTTATCATGACACCCTGCAATACTACTTGTAACAAAAGAAAAAACAAGTTGCAGCACTAGCACCACAATATCTCATAAACATCGCCGCTGAAAAGCACCACCATGTTCAATCTTGATGATCTCCCTGACTTTTTATTGGTCGAAATCCTTTGTCGAATTCCTCAAAAATCGGCAGTTCAATGCATGTGCGTGTCCAAACGTTGGTACGGTCTTGTTTCTGATCCTTATTTTGTTGGCCGCTTTCTACGTCTCCAAAGTGATAACCAGGTGCCCATTAATACTTATTTCCTGTTCACGAATCCAAAGAACAAAAGGAAATTGTTTTTTGACGTTTGGGAGAAGGAGCCTAAAAGAACCAGCGACTTGTCTCTTTTGAGTTTCCTGCCTCCTTTTCAAGAGCCTCCTGCTGTCAGTGTCAACACACGAGGTGGTGAACCCATCGTGGTAGGGGAATACAATGACTTGCTTTTATGCTGCGCAACCACGTGGTTTCAACGTTATTACTACATTTGCAATCCATACACCAAGCAATGGGATGCTCTTCCTCCCCCTCCTCAATGCTACAAAAGTATAAGAGTTGGATTCATTTGCGATCCCTACTATAACACTACTAGTACTAGCAGTACAATATTCCAGCTTAATGCCGAGTATAGGTACAGTGTTGTGCGATTACTCCCTGAATTTCCAGGGCTTGAGAATTCATCATCCTCCCAATTCAAAGCACAGATTTTCTCTTCTGAGACCGGTAAGTGGACAGAGTCGGTTGTATTAAGTCCACGAAGCTTTCGTTTCGATAACTTGGCTTGCAATGCCGGGGTTGCGTGCAATGGAATGTTGTACTGGTGGAGTGCTGCTCATGCTGATGATGGTAGCTTTATTATTGGTTTGGATCCCTACTCCAATAATAGTAGCAGCACTGGTGGCGATCATAATAAGTATTATTTACGTTTCATCGATAAGCCTGAAAATGAGGATGGATACATAGACTTGGTAGGTGTGTGTAACAGAGAAGGGTGTCTGCGAATGTGCCTGCTAGACTCATATGGTAATATAAGTGTTTTCGATTTTAAAGATGATCAAGTTGTGGACAGCGCTGCTGCAGGCAAATGGTGTTTGGTAGGCAAAACTTCCATGTACCCATTGTTTTTGGAAAAATTGACACGTGAGGGGCGCTGGGTTGACAAGTTTATGGGTCTTGCTTTCGACCCAAGTAACAAGGATAAGATTTATCTAGAATGGGATCAACACATTTTTGTACTTGACATTCGTTTAGGATTGTTTTGGGAGGGGTGGGAACCTCCGTGTAGTTTTAGTCCGATTCTTGTTGGGAGAGTTGCCTTCCCAGTTGTCCTCCAATGGTGGCCGACACCAGTTACTAGACACAAATGGACGTCCTCGAGTTCAAATCGTGTACCAGAAGGGCATGGTGGCCCGAGAACCAGAAGCTCAACAAGGAAGAGACCTCGTTCTCAAAACCGCAGATTTCTTATTGCAGAGATAAAAATGAAAATTAGATAGGCTAGTTTGAATGCGCAAGCAGTTTCATCCGCTCATTCAATTCAAGAAACAGAAGACAAAGTTACTTAATCCATATTTTATAGTTTCTGCTTGCAAAAGCTTGCAAGAAGCGGTGCATAATGTTATCCCTCATTATCTTCCCATTGTATTGTGCTCTATTTGCTGCCATTGCAGCGTTAGAACCATGATTTTGAATAAATAATAATAATAATAAAATTAATCAAAATTGCAAAGTCCAGCTTTTATTTTGTGTGTTCTATCCTCTGGTATTTATTATTTAAAAGTTCTCCTTATGTTAAATGAACTAACGTTTGCTAATATAGGGTATAAACAAACATCAGTTCATCCGACTCAAAGTTGAAAGACCGAAAGTGAAAAGAGAAAAAACGAATCCAAAAAAATATAATTAACAAGAAAATTACAAATCACATTCTGGATTCCAATGGTCCAAAGTGCTTACTAGAGTATGGGAATCAAAACTTTTGGCAGAAAGTATGGGTACAGTATAGTGCAGAAATTTGACAAATTATCAAAGTTGTACATTGGAATTAGCTTCTCTACCTTAACAAAAGTATATTTCTTTCCTAATTCTGTACAACTGAAGAAAGTGGAATGATGTATGGTTAATTTTGTCCACCAGTATGCATACTTGTGTAAGATCTCAGTAGTGAACTAAAATGTCCTCAGCGTGAACCGACAAACCTTCTATTATAATATCGGCAAACCCGTCTCCAATTTGGAACTTCGGATGGACGTTGGTTTCAATACCAGCCTTTAGCCATTGGGGCCGATTACATCGAGCCAATTTATCTGCTACTTTGCTTTGCATCACGGATGTGGAACATAAGCTGCAAGACAATCCAACTTTAGACCAATCATAGAAATGGCAGGCACACACCCGCTGTTATAACCAAAAGAAAAAAAGAAAAGGAAAAACGATTCACTGCTTATGTTTTTGTTGCTCATATTATGCTTGTGCCCAAAATGGTGTCATTTCGGTCTAAAATTAAATAGTTTGTGTTTAAAGATTTTATGAGGAAGATAATTGAAAGAAAGCCTGAAACAACCTAATTTTTTATACAAGAAAAATATCAGAATACGTAAGCAGAGATCTGAACTCCTACGACTAAACTACCATGTGCTTTGCTCCATTATATTTAGGCATTAGTATTCAAGAAACCGTCAAAGTTACTAGAAAATAACAATTTTATGTATTATCCACCTCAAAAAATTCTTTAATTTTTCATCAAGCGTTAGATCTCCTAATATTTCAAAAAGATTTAAATTACTTTTGCGCAAAAATACAACCTGTGTAAGGCCATGATTGTCAAATAGATTTCACCAGTTCTCCTCTTGATTAAAAGCACAAGGTGTATAAATTTCATGGAAAAATAAACCCCACAGGGTGTCTGTATAAATAAATCTACTCTTAGAGATATAACTAGATCATTATGGCATTACCTTTGTCCCTACATAAAACGTCAAAAGCATGCCAGCCAGAACAGGTAGTCCTGTACAAAGAAAATCATTAGCACCCCAGCAGCAGCATTTGTAAGGATAACAGGGAACTTAAGGATATAAAATTTCAACATACCTTCTCTGTTAAGGAATTGAGAAATCAACCAACTAATGCCAGATGGTCCAATAACAAAACCAACAAGGTTTGCTACCTACATAAACATTGGCTTTAATAAAAATATTGGATGCAGAAGCGTTAATAAAGCAAAAGGATTAGCATTTTAATTGGATGTCTGTATCATGATAGCATTTACTCATTCTTGTTAACACATAAGGTCATTCCATTTTTGCAACACGTCAGTGGTTCATTATTATCAGTTTGGCAACTGAATGTAACCCAAATTACTTGGAAGTGCTAAGTACCTTAGGTTTTCCGGGCATTGGATTCTCACTGAAATCAGTTAGATGCACAAACATGTTACAAATAAATATAAAGCATGCCCTCTGATCAACATAACGAGTGAAGGAAAAGACTCCTAAAAATTTAAATTTAGACAAGTATTGTTTCATAAGAACCATCGGAAAAAGGTCCTTAATACTACTTCATTTTGGCTCATTAAGAATTTTGAATGTTCATGTGGTACTGAGAATTTAATCATCTAGTATTATTTTACCGATCCAGGAAAACGTCGTATTAAACACACAAATTTCAAAAGTCAGTATGATCATCAAGTGGAACATAACTATTTCTGAATGGTATATGCCTTAATTAAATATAGAATACAGACCATGAGACAAGTGATAGTGATAGCACCAGCAACTGCACTTAGTTCGCGAACAACAAACTCCCCATGAGTACTCTCAACCTGACAAGAATACAACTCAAAATATAAACCAAAAGAAAATTGTAGTTCAAGGGGCAATTTGGCACAAAAAGAAACAGGGACCAAAGTGGGACACATGGCAAAGTTCAGGGGCAGGCACAGAGCCAGTCACCATACTGGTTGTGCTAACCCAGCCCAAATATTCAAAGGCCAAAACCCATAGCCTACTACAACCACTGCCCCAGTCTATATGCTCAGCCCATTCCTTTTAAAAAGTTCTGTCCCTGTTCAGGGGGTATAGCTAAATATTCTTTGGCACTGAATACCCCTAAGAAACAACAGTTCGTATTTGGCTATCTGAGAGGTGGAAAAATTGGAATGGTCATCCTCACTAAATTAAGCCGTAAAATAGAAAGAAAGAGGTCACCTGAAATGCATTTACTGCTGATTTTAATATCATTTCTGGAATAAAGAATAAGCACGTCAGCCATGCCCAGGAAAGAAGCTTCCTAATGCCAATGACAGAAAATAAGTTAGAGTAAGGCACAAATTTCAACAAGGCTCTGCTCCCATTTGACAGGAAAGTAAGATGTAATCAAGAAGAAAAGGTCAACAGCAGCTAGAAGTACCACTCTAGATCATGCCAAATGGCAACAAATGTGAATACAACCCACACATTGAGAAGCTTCCTCCGAGTGCCCCCAAGAGGAATGTACAAATACCTATTGTTGTCATTTCCGAAACAAACATGTCGGAGTTAGAAACAGGATTACAAGAGAAATTCAAAGCATAACAGGTTGAAAGTTCCACCTCACAAGCCATTTGTTGTAGGAAGCATGCCAGTTCTTCCAAAAGGTTTCCAGGTTGTAACAATTATTTATACACCTTGGCATATTCTCAGGGACCTCAATGCCACATATCTGCAGTAATTGGAAAGAAAAACAAAATCACTTTCCCACTGTATAGCAACATTAATACTTAAAGCTTGTTAAATCATTATGCACACAAATTACAGATAGAACAACGTATAGTAGACAGCACCCAGAGAAAAGGCCAAATTTCAGAAGAAAATAAATAAAACTTCATTTACATATACCCACCAGTGACCAGAACCGGAAATAGCGCCATATCAGAAAAAACTTTAGCCACATGAAGATTAAAACCTGCACAATCATATGAAAGTAAATAACCTTGACCTGAGCTGAAATAAATAAATGAAACCACCCAACAACGAGGATGGAAATTGAAACAAAGTAAAAGGGAAAACTACTAAAAGACCCATAAAGAAAAGCCATTTGAAATACTTTTTCACTCACAAAAGTTCACAAAATGAAATATAACATCGAGATAACCCAACCCCTTAAACTTCATTTTGTTGCAGACTGCATAGTATCTGAGTATGGTGAGAAACTTGGAAATACTTACATAAGAAATTGTTACATCATATCCATGAGGACTGTAAAGATCACAAGTTAGTTTTTAATATTAATAGTACCGACTCCTTTTCACAAATAACCATTTGAGGATTTTTTAAAGCATTAATCACCAATAGCTTTTGACTAACTCTCAATCCAAAGAAACTTATCTATTTAAAGATATATTTATTCAGCATTTTGTATAACAGATCTCACAAATAGAAATAAATTATTCAGCACTGTCCATGCAAACATTGTCTATGGTGTGTCCTTTGCATTTTCCAAAAGTAAATGGTCCACCTTAAATTAGTAATACGTAATTTAGCTTCACAATGTATTTCCATTCATATAATATGAAAACTTGAGATATTAAAACTCTAATCATGAAAAACCTTGATAATGTAAGGACCATCTCTTACCCCATATCCAATAATAAACACATCCATAGGATGTAACTCTTTCCACATGCCACTAATAGGTACAGAAGAAGAAAAAATTGTTAAAAAATGATTCAAAAGATAGAACATGCATATACACACATGCATGCACGGACACACGCACACACACCATATATGGTGTATCTTTAACTATAAAGACACTCACCTGATTGCAAACGCATTGTAATAAAAAAGATGTGTCATTAGTTCCATCAGAAGAAGACTGAATACCCAGCGCAAACCATACCAAGCAATGTCTCTTGCTGATAAGTTATTTTGAGGAACATCCAACTGGAAGAACATTGCAATAAAGATAATTGATGAAACTCCACAGTAACATACAGGAAGGACTAGCATATCCAATGGATGGAAACAGAGATCCAGTGCACTTGATAATCCGGAAATGACCAACTCTTTGAGTTAGTTTGAAAAAATCGCATATGTAGGAAAAATTCCAAACTACAGGAACAACAGTCAATGTATTGCTTCAGCAACAGTTAGGGTATATCAGAAGTCTTCAACCAAACAATATCATTTTTTTTATAAGAAACAAAGACACTAAACAATATCATTATTGTAGCTAATTTCATTCGAAGTTTGTACCATGAAGGCAGGTGTTTCAAACTTTATACTTGTATTTTTAAGCATCTGAATATCACCATAGTCTTTATCTCTAGAAAAACACCTAGGCAACCAAAGAATGTTTCTCAAACGGGAAAGTCTGTGATAATTATCATTCATTTCAGTAGTTCATCAATGAAAGACTAATCATACAAATAGAACACTAATGCACAAGGAAGAGAACAGGACAGTATCTATATTGAAAGTGACAGACCTGTGAGGCAAATGCATTGAAGCTTACAATCGGCCCAGCGAGATAAAGTGGTGCATATACCAAATAAGAAAGGTAAGTCATAAAGGAAAATTTGTCATTCTGGACACCTCTCTCCTGAGTAAAACAAGCACGTTTATGAGCATATGGAGAAATTCATTCAGATGGAAGTTAGTTTCAGGATCCATCAACTACAATAATACTGGACTCACACTTGGTGGATAGTGTAAGCTAACCTGTAAACTTTGGTAACAAGTTTTCCCTGATTTACAAATATCGCAGCGTTGAATGTGTTTCTGCAATTGCAAGACCAAAATAAGTATCACCACTAAGTAAATCTTTAAGGCACAAAGTATTCCTTGACAATAATCTGCATGCATGAATAAACATGAATTGATTTGAGGATTTCCAGATAATACTAGATTAAATAATTGGCAAGCTCGTGAAGGACAACAAAACATAAAATTACACTGTTGAGTATGAGCGCAGAAAACTAACGACATATCAAATTCAAAGCCAATGAAAAGGTTATCATGCACCATTAAAGCAACCTGCAGAGCAAGGACATTAAAACCGGGCAGGGTTGAATAATGCAAAATCAATAACCACTCCTGACTCTCATCCACAGAAAAATCTGAAGAAAAAAATACTTAAGGTTCTAGAGCAGTAAGTAACATATGCTGATTATTCTTCAGACCATGGCGGGCTGGAGAATGGTCTCTAAACTAAACCCATTTGACTTATGTAAGGAGGCCTAAATGGTTTTGTTCAAACGAGGAATAAATTATCTCCTGCAAAGATTTAATGTATTAATTACACATGTATTTAGGTTCATTGTTTTGGAGTCTTATATTCAATGTTTGAGTCTCTTTATGCCACATGATTAGGTGTCATGAATTGTGTCTTTTAGCATTGCATAGTAAATTAGTTGTGATGCTGGAATTGTTTGAATTTCGTTGGGAGTGAGTCCAATACACCTACTGCATGATACCAAAGGCAAGAGTCCTGTTCTCTCTTTTCATCCTTTCCCTTACTATTATCCTACACCACCACCACTACCAGAAGTTTGAAAGGTTTGTAAAATCGGCTTCCATGTAGACAAGGTAATGAAAAATCAGAGGAGTTGGGCGGGAAAGAGAAGGGAGAGATCAGACCTCAAAAGGAAAAAAATTACCTTATGGTCAAAACGAGAATCTCGATGTGCCCAATGGTAATCATAGCCAAAGCTTATCATGCGCAAAACAACTGTCACAAACAGCCAGAGTTAAAAATAAAAATAAAAAAACATATAAAAGCATGCCCGGTGTGCCCCGTGAATCCATCTCCTTTTTACTTTTAACTTCCATCCTCTATGTGTCTCAACTGAAAAAATTTACTTTTACTTTTGTTCATGCGTTTACTGAAATAAGTATATAGGTGCAGTGAACTTTTGATTTCGCATTTTCTAATTTCAGTAATGTGACTTTTAAGAATTTTTTTAGTTTCATCTTATTGTGACTTTAAGGGGTGGTACTAATTACCCTCTAAACTTTGAAGTCAGTTCTGCTTTGCCCCCATGTACTTTTAATTTAATCAATGTTCAGTCTAAAACAGAAGAGTTGTGTCAATCTATTTCATTTTCCTTACAAAAGACAATGACCATGTGACTAGCACAAGAAATCAAGATCAAAATTACTGATATGTAAATCCACCATTAAATAAAAAAGCAATGAAAAGTTTAAAAATAAACACATCTCCCAACACCACACCTAGCTCCATCATGGGCCGCCATGGTCACTGCCAACACATTGTGGGCCACCATGGTCACAAACAAAACCATGCACTTCCACCATCAATTAGTCATCTTCACAATAAAAACTCCACAGCCCACCTCTAACCTTAAGCCACCCGTCAACTAATAAGTGTCACCATAATCAAAATTTTACACCACCACTCAGATGAAAGGACTCATAAACACCATTTACAGCCATAGCTCATGAAACGACTCAAATTTTAAGACCCATAAATCCACCAATTCAGTTCTCATATAACAAGCCTTACACACCCTTGCCCTATCATCCACAAAGCTTAAAGCTGTGGCATTGTGGGTCTGCTCCAAGCAGCCACTTTTCACCTTCATTCGAACCAAAAAAGCTGTCACTGAGAGGAGCCCCAAATTACTCTAAACGTTCATCAGTCTGAACTTTGTGTTGTGAGTTTGTATTAGTGAAGGATTTGATGAATTACTTTCATGGAATTTTCAATAAATAGATTGCTAATGCATTTACCAACTATATCTATATTTAATTGTCCCCAGGAAAGTTCTGTTGTGGAGAGCCGTGGAATTTAGATGAATTAAATAGTTAGTTCTGTATATAAGATGTTAGCAAAACCATTATCTTTGAAATTGAGGAAAGTAATGGCTCATAAGAACTCTTATACGGTATTGAGGAAAGTTGATATTGGTAACCCCATCTGGGTCATTGTTATGATGCATGTATGCGTCTACATATTTACGCATATGTGTTTGACGACCAATTGTATGCACATGATATGGAAGAGTAGGTAGAATATGATATATTAAAACCACAATAATGAAAGTAAGATAATTGGAATTAAATTCTCAAAAAAAATCATTAGGAATCCAACAAAAAAAATAAATCACAAGGAAAGAAAATTACCAAAGTTAAAGCAAATGTGCCATCTAAAGGTGCCCCGAAAGTTATCCAAATATGCCCACCGTTGCCTATGTACAATGATAAACAGACCAGTAAGCAGATATATCAGAATTTATTGCCTAATAATTTAACTACCCAAAGAAGGGCTTAATAGCCTAGCCAACAAAACTCACCCAATCATGGAAAATGAATATCCTTCATAAACACGATTGCACAGAAGAAAGAATATGTTGAAAATCCAAAATACAAAAGAGAAGTACTTTGTTCGTGCAAATATCTGCAGAAACAAAAGTATAGTAAACATATGGCAAGAATAAAAAACAGTACAGCACAGCTATGATGATGAAAGAAACAACATGAACTCTATGAACAGACTCAAATTTTCAGATTGTATATTATTTTCTTTGGTGATCATAAGATGTAGGAAATAATTTTTTTTATTTTTATAAAGCATGCAAAGACACAATTTTCACTCACATAAAACCAAATTATAAAAACAAAAACTAACTTATACATCAACTCTTGACTGTCAAAAGTACCCAGCACCTTAAATTTCGCATGCAAAAGGTTCACAACCATTACAAGAGCTTACAGTCATTCTGTACCTTTTTCTAGAAGCCTTATTCCCATCAGATTTTACAAGTAATGAATTGCAATTGTACAGAAAACAAGTAACCATTTAAAATTTGGAATGTAATACGGAACAAATAATAAAATAGAAGTCAGAACTAAATCCCCAATGTATATTTTTCCACTGTGTTAAATTAGAACCAAGTTTGAGTAATTCAAATATTTATTAAAAAAAGGAGAATAAAACAGATTACGATCTCACCATCGAAGTATTATATTTCAAATTTTCAGAAGTTTTAGCTCCTCGAAGCACAAAGAGTGGTATAAAATGAACAAGAATATCAACTGCTAAGTCAGCAAGACGTGAAAGTTTAGACATTCTTAAAGCCTACAAATGTTGGCTAACTCTTCACATGAAATCACATTGTTTTGACACCTGAGCAGTGTTCTTTATGTGATCATAACACATACGCACACACTAAGGTTCATGTGGAACTTGTATATTTCAGAAAACAACTTAACTGAAGAAAAATAATGCAATATAACTGTAAACAGAAAAAGACTAATGATAACAGTGATAACAGAAAAATGCATTACATTATGTATCTTGAATGCAACTAACCTTTACTAAAAGAAAATTCACTGAAGCGATTGAGAGGATAAATATGATGCTTGCAGAAACAACGAAAGTCAGAGAACTGCAGCCTCCTTAGACAGAGTATAAAATCCAAGTATTATTATGAATGTAACACATACCAGGCTCCATGCAGATATGATAGGTATGTGAAAGATATCAAAATCCAAATAATGGACATCCCTCTCGCTTTTAAGTGAAAGCTTGTCCTCAATAAATTAGCGATCAACGTAAAAAGTGTGAAAACAATGGTAAGAACGGGTAAATTTCCTTGAAAGTTTCTCCATTGTGCATCAGAAACATCCTAAGCAGAAAAAAGAAAGGGGGTATATCAGACAAATACAGATTTTATAATTCTGTGAGCATTCAGTGCATTCATATTATGCACACAGTGATACTGAAATAATACAACACATGAACAAGAATCATATCTAGAAAAGGTCTATCTAATAATGAAATTGCCAACCTATTACAAGCCAAAGAAGGTAATGCAGGAAAATAATTGTTGAACTCGTAAAGTTAAATGGGATTGAAATAGACTAAAAGTGGTTTGCCCTGGGAGAGGATGTAGAGCAGGAAATAAAAGGTAGTGTAAGAATGTTATCAGTAGAATTTGTCCTCAATCCACTTAACATCCCACCTTGCCAACCGTTAATTAGCTCCAATCCCAGAATGCCTTTCCAAATCATGCTTTTCTATGATAATTAAGAAAGAGTCAAATTTACATATATACACCTGTACATATACAAATATATCTTCAGATACAATGCAACTGTACCTCTGGCCCTTCGGATTAAAGTCATGGTTCAGCCAGCTCAGAACCTAAGAGCTAAACTTTAATCCCTAAAACCCAACTCTACAACCTAAAATAATTAATCATGCCCTACTTGGAATAAAAACTAAAGAAGAACTTATACATGATTAATAAAAAATAAAAAAACATGAGCCTCATATGTTCAGCTACCCTTGCAAAAGAATCATCAAAATACGAAGTCGTTTAGTCATCTAAAATGTGAAAAAATAAAATAAATAAAAAATCTCAGTTCCATAAATAAAACTGAAACGAAAATGTGGATAATTGAACAATTTCCAATTTAGCTGATGAAGAACCTAAAAACTGAACCATTCCGGTCATTAATTTACAGCCCATAAATAAGTTACTATAGAAAGTATATATGTATATATATACTTGGAAATGGAAGATAGAATATTCATTCAATTGACACGCTATGATATCTTTCTTGACTATCTCCTGCGTTATTTTTTAAAGGAAATACAATCTAGAAAAAGAAAAAAAAACGAAATTGAATGAAAAACGAAGAAGACGAAAGGTGAGGAGTGAAGGAACATACATTGAGGCGATGAGGCAACAACCATCCAGGACGCAAACCAAAGAGTTTAAGATAATGATCTGCATATGAGAAAATTGCATTTGCATTTCAATTAATTACCGTAAAAAGAAAAGAAAAAAAAAAAAAAAAAAAAAAAGAAGGAAAAAACAGAGGAAATGGTTTGGGCTTGGGTACCGCGAGAGAGCTGAAGGGATCGATGAATGATGAAGGCGTAGAAAGCAGCTGCGTAGAGAATGAGAAAGCCAAGCTCTCTTCTTTTGTTGCCGCTGCTGCTATTCAACAAATTCATAGCTGATGACGAAGAGCTCTGTTTTTTTCTTCACCTCAATTTCAATTTCAAATTATGCCCTACAAATTCATAGCTGCTCTGTTTTCAACCCACTCCATCTCACTTCTGCTCCCTCTGACTGAAACAATTCTCAGTCCCAAAACAAATAAAAAAGGGTAAATTACATTTTGGTTACTGAGGTTAGGGTCACCAAACTTTCAATTTTCTGATTTTCATCATCACACTTTCCATCAGTTAAGACGCACATTGTGCGTGGATGTAGGGGTAATATTGTCCTTTCACCCCTAAGAGCAGTTCCAGCGACTCCCCCAACCCGGCGGGGGGCGAGGCCCAAGAAACAGTTTTCAACAGTACAAAACAGCCCAAGCAAGGCGTGGGCTCCACAAACCCTGTCAAGCCCGAAGGCAAAAGCAGCTTGAGTTGTTGCTTTAAGGGTTGTGATGTAACATCCCACATCGACTAATGGAGAGGGGGTGATGTGTCTTATATGTACATACCCGCTTCCATCTAGCAAGAGGCCTTTTGGGAGCTCACTACCTTCGGAGTCATGGGAACTCTAAAGTTAAATGAGTTGGGACTAGAGCAATCCCAGGATGGGTGACCCACTGAGAAGTTGTTCGTGAGTTCCCAGAAACAAAATCATGAGGGCAAAAAGGGGGGCCCAAAGCAAACAATATTGTGCTACGGCGAAGTCGATCCGGGGTGTGACAATTTGGTATCAGAGCCACTTTGCTGTGTTGAGCGAGTATGCCGACGAGGACGTCGGGCCTCTAAGGGGGGTGGATTGTAACATCCCACATCGACCAACGGAGAGAGGGTGATGTGCTTTATATGTACCCGCCTCCATTTAGCACGAGGCCTTTTGGGAGCTCACTGGTCCGAAGTTAAGCGAGTTGGGGCTAGAACAATCTCAGGATGAGTGACCCACTAGGAAGTTGCTCGTGATTTCCTAGAAACAAAACCGTGATGGCAGAGAGGGGAGCCCAAAGCATACAATATCGTGCTATGGCGGAGCTGATCTGGGGTGTGACATGTGACATTATTGATGACATCAGCAACGAAATTTAAATTAAAAAAATTGAAAAAATACCAAAATTTTCAGAAATTTTTTGTTTTATAAATAGCTTGCCATATTCTTCACCTCCCACACCAACACTCTATACAAATTCCTCTCCTCATATCTCATGTGAATAGTGGTTGCTCTTGAGTTGCCATAACAATGAGTGGAAAACCAACAAAAAAATTGCTAGAGCAAGCACTATTCATGTGAATAGTACCAACCTTTGCCTCCCTTTACCTTTTACCATGGCAAATGGGTGGAAATGCTCTAACCCAGCTTTTTCTCTACAAACATACCCCACATAATGCAATTGAAGACAACGACCCAAACAAACCCCACATAATGCACACTAAGACCGACTCTTAGCCTTGCGTCGTGGTCCCCCACCAGATCTCCCATCTCCACTCTTACTCCTCCATCGGCCGCCACTTCCTGGAGTCCTCATCCAGGAGTCCTCATCCACCCAGTTCTCCGGGTCCCTCAAAATAAAAAAACTTTTATAAATAAATAAATAAATAAATAAATAAATATATATATATATATATATATATATATATATATATATATATGTGTGTGTATTATTCCCATTTCAATTAATTTCTCTCCCAATTTATGGTTCCTTATTTGTGACAGAGAAAAAAAAAACGAAGGATGAGTGTGAATGAATTCACAAATTATTTTAATTTTGTTTGTGGTAGATCCTATAGCTAGCTACAAAAGAAACAAAAATTTAATTGTTGGATACTTGCTTGGTGGATTGGGGGTGTGGGTGTGTATGGCTGGTGATGGGTTTGGGTGGTTATGGATGATGGTGCGATGGTTGTAGAAAGAGGGAGAAAGGAGGAAGGATGAGGGCATTTTTTGGGGATAGGGATGGTGGATGGGATGGGAGAAACGAGGATGGTAACTGGGTTGCATATATATATTTTTTATAAACTTTTTAATTTCATTTTATTTATTAATGATTTAAATAGTGGAAGTACGATTTTGCTCTTGCACGCACTTAGTAAGTGCAATTAAATGTGACTTAATTTGCTAATGATGCAAAGTGTGATAACCAAAATTGAAAAATTAAAAATTCGGTGACTAAAATTAAATTTAATCCTAACCTCAGTGATCAAAACTGTAATTACCCTTAAAAATAATCATCATTTTTAAGTTCAATTTTTTTAGTAAGATACCAAACGAGCTCTAAAGTTGTGGTGTAAAATTTATAAATTACCCTTAAAATTAATAGAAAATTTAAAAGTGACGACATGTGGTCAAATTAAAATACTTATAGTAATTAAAATTGAGTTGAAAACTAAAATACATAACTCATGAGGGATAAGTTAAAAAGTTCATTGACTTAAGTGGTCTCAAGTTCAAACCTAATTACATTTTTGTAGTGGTAAAGTGTGTGAGAAACCCTGCTCTTGTCCCTTAAAGTTTTGACTATTGCTTATATTAAAAAATAAACTCACGAGCCATTCCCAAATTAGATATTTTCATCCTCATAAATAAATAAATAAGCTATTTTTCATAATTAAAAAACAATGCGGGGTATGTTTAGCAAATAAATGGGTTCAACTAATAGAGCTCCCTTCCTTTCATAGGAGGAGAAAGACGCGCACTCACATGCACAGAGTACTCTGATAGAAGGAGCTTGAGAGAGAGAGAGAGAGAGAGAGAGAGAGACAGCCTCTCCCTCGGTCCCGTAACTGTAATAACAACCCAAAACCCTAAACCACCTCACCTTCACATCATTGCTTTGCGTCAAATACCCTAACTCCATATCTGAGGATTTTTACAAATTTGATTGATTTGAATTTCTTTTGGTTTTTGTGAAATTTAATTTCTGTTAAAGAAACGATCGCGAAGAAGATGTCGTGTAGGCAAGTGGTGAAGCGTGCTAGTTACAAGTCTAAAATCAAAGATCCTGGGACTCCCGGCGTTTTAACTTTGGTACTCAATTACTTAATTCTTCACTTTTTCTCATCCCTTGTATTGCTTTTTTTTTTCTTTTTCAAAAAATACAAATTTAATTAGTCTTAAGTTTCATCATTGTTTTAAACATTGTATTCTACCAAATTCTACCAAATGCTAGTTTGGGTAATTGTTAAAAGTGCACTGTCTCTCATTCTTGGTGATGTATGGAATCATTTTGTTTGTTTAATTTTGTTTTTGAACATACATTGGCCTGTGCAGACAGAGAACAAGTTTGTGTTCAGGCCAAACGATCCCTCGTCTGCCGCGAAGTTCGATGTGGAGTTTAAACACATTACAGGTACTCTTTTTCCTTCCTTTTAAAAAAAAAAATCTTACTCATTTTAACATCCCATCATTCAATTTCTCTACATATCATGCTAGTTATATGAGTTATAATTTTTTTATATTGCGTTTTATTTTGAATTTTCAGGTCACAAAAACACCAAGGAGGGAACAGATAAACCACCTTGGCTTAATCTCAGTGACAAGGTTTTCTTCTAGTTGTAACCTATGATTTGACCTCCCACTAATTTAGGGCTAGTCTAATGCAGTTCCTTTTTTCTTCATTGACAAAAATTTATTCTGTGATTCCCCAGGATAGAAGTTACATTTTTGAGTTTGGAAGTTTTCACGATCTTCATGTATGCCGAGATTTTGTAGGTAACAATCACATCCAGAACATGTAATTGAAGTCTAGATTGATTGTGTCCAAATTCTCAGTTTCACATTTTTCTTTAGCTCTATATTGTCTGCAAATCTACCATTCTGCTGATGTATACTCTGACTTATGCTTTTTAGTTGAATTTTGAGAAATTTCCATGCAAATGCTATTTTTAGATGTGCAAGGAATGTATTAATGCCCTCACCTTTTCTGTTATCTACATGCCATTCATTGCCAATCTTTGCTCTTTCCATTTTCACTGATTTCCTTTGAAGCTTATGACACTGCACTTATATATATATATATATATATATATATATATATTAACATTTGACTGTTCTGTCTTGGTTGCTGTATTGGTTAATTATTTACTCTGTGTTATTTGGTGCCTTTGAATAGGCAATGCCCTTGCTAAGTCCGGAGAGGCGGCAAAAGCTTCTTCTGCTCCAAAACCTACTTCTGCTGCGAAAACGACTTCTGAGAAATCTGGAGTCACATTGCCTGATGAACAACTCAGTACTGCAGAAATGCAGCTCCGTATGAAGCTATTACAAGAAGACAGGTAACTGTAGTCTCCTGTACCCGCATGAACAACTCAGTATTGTGTGCATTTTTTATTTTTGTTTGCATTTGCTTTCTAGGTGGAAATTTAGGCAGTAATTGTCCACCAAAACGCTTCTAATTTGTGTTTGAGAACTGGTGTAACTTGATAATTCCTGTTACTAGATTGTTTGCTTCTGGGTGTAGCATTCTCAGTGTAGAACTGACGTAATCTGTGTTTATACTTCCTGTTTTTATATCACTAAATTTTATTCTTCTCAGTGAATTGCAGAAACTTCATATGCAATTTGTAATCAGTGGTGTCTTGACGGAATCTGAGTTCTGGGCAACTAGGAAGGTTAGATAGTTTATTGCAGACATCTATGTTTGTACAAGTTCTGTGTTTAATTTCGTATTTGAACTCTAAGTGTACACATAGTGTAGGATCTTTCCCCCCTCTCTGGGGCTATGCTTACAATGGAAACTATTTTTAGCCGAAAGTGTGTAGTGTGATGTAGTTACATTTCTACTCTTTCAATTTTGCAGAAGTTGCTTGATGGAGATAGTCGTACAAAGTCAAAGCAACGGGTTGGTTTCAGAAGTTCAATGATATTGGACACCAAACCTATGACTGATGGCCGGGTAGAACATCTCTCTCTCTCTCCTTGATTAATGAGTGCTTTGTTTTCTTCTTGTCAACAGTTACTTGATCCTTGTAGAGAGTTGCATCTCCTTGGTGGCTTTTACTAGAACTATTTTTTGATAAACATGGATTCCTTTTGTTATGGATAACATTTTCTTCCTCATTTAGTTGTGGTTCTGATTTTTTTTTCTTTTGGCGGAAATGTCCAGATGAACAAGGTTACTTTTAATTTGACTCCAGAGATTAAATATCAGGTATGGTTATTTTATTTTGCACTTCGTTGTTTTCTTTAACATAAAGCTTCCATTTTGACGTTTACAAATACCCTG